CTGTTTTAGAAAACAGCTGTGTTCAGTACTGTTTTTACAGCGCTGTTTATGAAACCATGCTGTTTGATGCAGTTTGAGATTGGTAGTGTAGTTTATGATAGGTCAGGAATGACCTGATTTTACCTTAAAAATTTAAACAAAGATATATCATATTGTCTACTCAAATGAGCTCAAAATAGTGAATATAGTCTATAGTTTTGTCATATTATTGCTACTGAGATATACAATAATGATTAACAATTATAAAAAAATGAATCTCAACAGCCATTTATTCCTTTTTAGTACCAATGGCAATACTATCTAGTTTTATAGAACATTTTCTAAGATATGAAAATGTTTGATAAGTCCAGAGCCAATCAGATCTGCTTTCAAACATTTGCATCTGTTCTCTTGACACAGGTATCTACCCCATGACCTACATTTTATGTTGTGGCCTCAGTATCAGCAGTGGGAGTAGTCCAGCCACATTCATGTGGTGATAGAAACTGTGGGTAAGAATGCATCAGAATGAATAAGGACTCTAGTCTTCTAATTTTAGGGTATCAAAAAAGATTTAAAGCATAAGAACACTTGCGTAACCTCTGGGTACACCTTCTATTCCTGCAAATCAGTTGATTTAATAGTAGCAGAATGCATCTAGCGATTGTATGAAAAATGGTAAGGCCAAGTGGCCTTGAAATATCTAAGGCAGGTCGTACATACTGGAGGAATTTCCCCTCACTATAGGCCATATGCAATCCAAATTGAAATTTTTCAGCACAAGTTACTGCCAGTTTAAACCACATCAAAATCAACTGTATTGACTATGATTCTTATTAGGTCATGACAGAAGCAGTCTTTGGCATGCTTCTTCATATGAGCGAATGGCGATGGCAGATACTTCACTATCGGGCTAAGATATTGCATTACTTCATTGTGAGGTCACTATCTTCTTGCCATCTTCCTCCAGGGTTTCGGTTTTGATGCCTGGAAGGAAAACAGCTCCCTCTTGTTCCAACCATCTTAGGAAATCTTGCCAATTCCACAGAAGAAAATTAGTAGGATATACTTTCCTCACTGTTCCAGTTTTGTGCTGTTTGTATCTATGCTCATTATCATCAAAGTTGAATGACTAAGCTACATAGTAGATGCCGAAATAATAGACAGGGCATGTATAGTTAAACATGCTAACAGTGAAATATAAAGAAAATTTGGTGATTATGCAAATATGATATTACCCACGTAAAAGTCTGCAAATAGTTCATTGCCTTGATGTCAGCTGGGATGTTTACAAGGACACTAGCTTAAAGGGGCAACAAGGTCTGTAGAAGATTCAATTTTGTTACTTTTTCTGAGCTATCAGGGCAATATTTGGCTTTGGCATACCTATTTTCTTAAAATGTATGGATAAACTATCAATTTCAGCATTAAGAAGTGTAAATTCAGTTCAAAGCTTCTATAAAGGGAGTCCCACTTATAGGTTTTTAAGATCCAAAACATTTCAAGAGGAATCAGCTGAAATAATGTTCATCCAGGGGGTTTCTTTGGAAAGAAATAAACATATATGTTAGTCTTGATGAAATATCAAAACTTGAATATATTTTGACACTGGTCCATGATCGTTGAATGGCCCCTTTGCACTAATTGTTGCACCTTTAAAACAGCACTAGAGAGACTTGTGGAACTGGAACAAGGACAGTCTAAGGAGGAAACTGAAACCCTTGAAATGAATGGAAAGAAGATAGTGACCACATAAATTAAGGAGGCAATGCAATGTTTTAGCCCAACAGTGAGGTTCTGCCATCACCCTTGCTCTTATAAGAAGAAGCAGATTAAAGGATATTTCTCAATATTTTCAGTTAGACTGCTTCAATCATGGCCTTCAAGAGAAAGAATAATACTCCTTACATTTAATTCTGATGTGGTTATCCTGGCATATATGTGATGTTAAAAACTGAAAAAGTCAATTTGGATAGCATATGGTAAGGGAGAAAACATATCAATATCTACCTGCCCATGACCAAAGTTTAATCCTCCCCATTTCTCATACAATCATTGGATGTGATGTTACATCTGTATTCTACTGCTATGGAAAAATGGAATAAATGGATTGAGATTTAAATGTGTCACTGAATTTTCTAATTGTTGTTAATCATTATCTCAGTAGGAATAAAGTAAAAACAGACTATTTTCCCCATTTTGAGATCATTTTATCTTGAAAATTATTGTGATAACATTTGGCATTCTTGTGCCCAATCATTGACTGTCATTATTCACTGACAGAATCGTTGACAGAAGCAGCTCACCTATTAACCCCCCCCCCCCATCAGGCTAAGGTGACTGGACTTACTACCCTTTGCATTCATTCGACTTTCCTTCTCAAAAGAGAGCTTCGTCTTCACTCTATCAGTTTTCAATGAATCTCTGAACTCACTGTGCTAATCAGAGTTTGTTGTCGAAATAAGGACGGCTTTCTATATGGTCATTTTCTCTGACGAAATCGCATCATTAATGTGCACGCATTTACCACTTGTTCCTTCAAGCTCGCTGATTGGTTGAGAATAGGTCAGCATGGTTTATTGCAGCTTGGGTCATAAATGCTTTAAGACCCAAGCTGCCAATGGCATCGGTCATGGGGACGGGGCTGCTAAACTCACTCCATCCTTTGCTTCTATATTATGGTAATATATGATAAAATCACCCCTGACCTGTCAAAAGCTAAAAATGTCATTTTTCAAATTTCCATTATTTTTTACATCTCCTAAGGAATAATATGACAAAACAAGAGTATATGACACAATTCTAAACTCATTTGAGATGCATACGTCTCATAATTAAGAAAAGTTCAAGGTTAAATAAGCCCCCCCCCCCCAGGCCATCATAAGCTAAAATGAAAATTTCAAATTTTAAGAAATATCCAATCATTTTCTACATCTTATTGGAGGTATTATGATTAAACAGAACTATATGCATCATCTTGAGCTAATTTGGGATACATATATTACAAACCTTGAAAGTTATTAAGGTAAAATATGGTTACCCCTGGCCCTTCAGAAGCGATAATGAAATTTTATTTTTTTTGAAAAGTTCCAATCATTTTTCTATCCAATTAGGAATAATATGACAAAACAAGACTCAATGCACCATTTTGAGCTCATATGAGACCCATACATTGCATATCTTAAAAATTATTAAGGTAGAATAAGGTTACCCCTAGGCCGCAAGGGCTTAGAAATTCAAATTTCGATAATTTTTATTTCAAAAAATACATGAGCTACCCAAGCCATATTCTATATTTGTGATGAACACTTATACCCCTATTAGTATGAATTTTTCCAAGATGATCAGACATCACATTCTTGAAATACAGTACTTGATGTCCCATATTTGACCCTTTAAAAGATGAATTCACGCTAGATAATTGGGTCAAAATGCATTTTCCACACTTAACACCACATCTACAATTAGTTTGTCTCAATTTCAAGGCTCAGAGCAATCACCAAATGAAGTCATTTAAAAAAATTTACTTCACAACCATTTTTATTTATTTTTTATAATGTACCCCCTCCCCGCCTGATAGGGGTTGGGGTCAGAGACTAAAAAATCCATGAAGACCACTCCGGATCACTTGCCCCGAAATCATTTTCCACTCAGATCAAGTGTTTCTACAACTGTGCCAAGTTTGTTGCTTTCCTGAAAAAGTCGAACTATGAAGGGCTCATTTCTGGACATCTGACTGCGCTATATGAAAATGAGAGATTATTCAACACTCATACAGTCATGTGTCTCGGTTCTCAAGGTTTTACCTTTGAAAAGTCTTTTTACAACATATACATTTATCTCAAATCTACATTGGAGGTTTATTTACTTAAAACCCATACATTTATCATATTGCTCATGCATGGCAAAACTGTCAACTTCAACTTCACTCGTCAAATAAGTTATGTGATACTCAGTTTTGAATATGGGGTATATCTTTCGGAAAATATTATATCTTACCTCGGTCCCTCAATAAGATATTTATATTTCCCTCAGGATATACCCCATTACATTGGAGGTTTATTTACTTAAAACCCATACATTTATCTCATGCTCATGCATGTACAAATATACATTGGAGTTTTTTTTACTTTATTCCATGCATGTTCATGAAAGAGGGGGGGGGGGTGTAAATCCAAAATCCATGACTATTTCATATTGTATAACTATCAAAAATATAGAGAGTGGTATTCAAAACATATACCACATCTCATGTTTGTATGATGTAAAAGGATTCAAAAACCCCAAGGCAAACCATTATATGATGCTATTTAGTAAAGCCTCATAGACCATGAAATAATAGAGAGGTTAAGCTACAGGTATTCAACAAAGCGGGAATATGAACTTTACTTTGTTGTTACATTGATAAAGTTGAGTTCTAAATTAAAGATTTTGAACATTAAAACTGGTGAAATTACAACTTCAAAATGTGATAATTTTATTTCATCTTGTAAAATATAAAATCCATGAATAGGGAAAAATAGACATAAGAAATATGAAAAAACAGTAAATGCATCCCTTGTTATATACTATACTGAGAACTAATTGTCAGTAGGTCATCATAGAGATATCCCATGATACATGTAGCTATCACAGAGTGTATAATAGTAATGCAGTAATATCAAACATGTGTTTTACAGTGATTTAGCATAGCATGGAGTGTATAATAGTAATACAGTAATATCAAATGTGTGTTTTACCGTGATTTAGCATAGCATGGAGTGTATAATAGTAATACAGTAATATCAAACATGTGTTTTACAGTGATTTAGCATAGCATGGAGTGTATAATAGTAATACAGTAATATCAAACATGTGTTTTACAGTGATTTAGCATAATAGTATCACTTATTTGTCTCACAATTATATATAGGTTTCTACTCTAGCTTCTTGAAGTATACTGAGGAAAACCATCTCTAGTACCAAAATGTACCAAGGAACGCCATTCCTAGTACCAAAATGTACCAAGGAACGCCATTCCTAGTACCAAAATGTACCAAGGAACGCCATTCCTAGTACCAAAATGTACCAAGGAAAGCCATTCCTAGTGCCACAATGTACCAAGGAAAGCCATTCCTAGTACCAAAATGTACCAAGGAAAGCCATTCCTAGTACCAAAATGTACCAAGGAACGCCATTCCTAGTACCAAAATGTACCAAGGAAAGCCATTCCTAGTACCAAAATGTACCAAGGAATGCCATTCCTAGTACCAAAATGTACCAAGGAACACCATTCCTAGTACCAAAATGTACCAAGGAACGCCATTCCTAGTACCAAAGCCTTTGCAGCTTCAACTGCAATTCCAACATTAGTTGTACCAGGTTTCACACATTCCTCTTCCTTGTCTCCATTCTCAACTGAATTGAGAGAACATTGTGCATTGGTCAGCAGTTTACCAATATAATCATTCCAGAATTTTGAACGTTCTCGTTTAATAGAGCCATCTTTGGCTTGGATGGTGTCTCCAAATTCTATGTAATGACTGGACTCGCTGGTAGATGCCGACCAATATGTTGACAAAATTGGGTTTTCTGGCTCGTTGGGATCTCTGCAATGAGACAAGAGAAATCACTTAAATAAATTGAGAGGAAAATCAATGGGACATTTTGTGATTAATATCTTAAAAATCTTTATTTCCAATTCTAGGTTTTCCAATTCTAACTTATACATGTATATATCAAAGATTTATCCAAATCAAATGTTTTGATATAGGAAACTGGAAATAAGAAATACTTTTACATAAAAGACAACCTGGAAATCTTACTTATGAAATATGAAATATTAATTTCCAACTTTCTTGTTCTTTAAGATTGAAACTGATTTGAACTCTTAGTGTCTTTTTAAAAAAATACTCACCCAGTCTTTGCGAAGTTTGTCCAGTAGGTGATCATATTTTCCGAGATATTCTTCTCCAGTTCAGTGCCATTGGGTGTAAATGGCATGATAGGGGAGAAGAACAGATACTGCAAGTCATCTGCATGGTCAGCACCAGTCATCCAGGATGGCACAGTCCCTGCTTTATAGCTAGGAGCATGGGTCAAGTGGTACAGAAAGCAATTCTGACCATAGGCATGTGTTAGATGGTCAAACGGAAGCAAGAACTGTTCATCTGTTCCTGCTTGAACCACTCTCTCAAATAGTTCATCCGCACTCATATCATCTATGGCCTTTAGTCCAAAGTAAGCATACCAGATGGCCTCATACATATCATTTGATAAATCTCCCCCGTAATAGTTACTCGTTGTCTGCATCAGCTCCTCCACGAATGCTACAGCACTTGATTGGTTCCCAGAGGAGATTCTGGGATCAGCCCCAATAAGCAAATATCCTTCATGACTGTTGATCCCCATCATAAGGTCCACACTGGTCAACATCTCATACCCTGGCCCAGTGGCTTCATCCAGTTTCACAGGGGGCTCTGTGATGAACTCCCCATCCACCACAGGGGACCATCTTGCACCCATGGCCCTTTGCATATAATACAGAGCTGAAAAAAGCACATTAAGATGTAAATAAAAGGATTCCCATCCTAGACATTCCCCAAACATATACTATTCATTAATGAATAAACACAAGGAGCACACGCGTCTCCAACTCGCAACCTTGTGGTTACGTCACCCAATCGCCTAGTTTGAACGTGCTAGCAACCTCATGGTTATGGCACCCAATCGCCTAGTTTGAACGTGCTAGCGCTTAAGCCCTCTCGGCCAACTAGACAAATTGTGAATTGTGTCTTCATGCATTCATGAGGTTATAATAGTAGATACGATTGTTTAGGTCTTTCAATACATTTCTAATATTTGATCAAGAATAATAAAGCAGAATATGATATGAGTTTACATTTGTTGTCATTTTGGTTATAACATTCTATTCAATTATACTCATTTCATTCTGATGGTCTGTTTAATATATAATCTTACATGCAATATACAGCTCAGTGACATCTACTCCACGTAGACACTCCACTAGGTCAGCCATACTTTCATTACTGCAGCCTAGTTGTTGTCCCATACCCTTAATTGATGGTACATTGTCCTCCATGTTAAAGGCCCATGATGCAAGAAGAGAACCACTCTGTGCAATAACACGCCTGAAGACAGATATGCATATAGACTATAGAGGTTATTGACTGGTTGGGATTTGATAAGGTTTTTATTCTGAAAGACATGCGGATGAGTTTTTTAGTGTGATATCGAGATACTAGAAATGGTGATTTTGATATATTTTTTAACTTGTTCAAATAATACTTACTGGAAAAAGCCTTTTTTGTGGGGAAAAGGCTTAGAAGGTTAGAAGACATATTACTTACTGGAAAAGGCCCTTGTTCTGTGGGGAAAAGGCCTGTGTTGTAACATGTATTACTTACTGGAAAAGGCCCTTATTTTGTGGGGAAAAGGCCTGTGTTGTAACAAATATTACTTACTGGAAAAGGCCCTTATTTTGTGGGGAAAAGGCCTGTGTTGTAACAAGTATTACTTACTGGAAAAGGCTCTTATTCTGTGGGGAAAAGGCCTATATTGTTACAAGCATTACTTACTGGAAAATGCCCTTATTTTGTGGGAAAAAAGCCTGTGTACTTACTGGAAACGGCCCTTATTTTGTGGGGAAAAGGCCTGTGTTGTAACAAGTATTACTTACTGGAAACAGCCCTTATTTTGTGGGGAAAGGCCTGTGTTTTAACATGTATAACTTACTGGAAAAGACCCTTGTTCTGTGGGGAAAAGGCCTGTGTTGTAACAAGTATTACTTACTGGAAAAGGCCCTTGTTTTGCGAGGAAAGCCTGTGTTGTAACAAGTATAACTTACTGGAAAAGGCCCTTATTTTGTGGGGAAAAGGCCTGTGTTGTAACACTAGCTGATCCTGCAGATTCTCCAAATATTGTTATCCTTTCTGGATCTCCTCCAAACAGTGCTATGTTCTCCTTCACCCAATGGAGCGCCAGCTTCTGGTCAAGCAAACCCATGTTTCCTGGAACCATTGGTTTATGAAGCATGGAAAATTGAAAATCAAAATTGCAATAATGTGTATTGATACGTAGCTAGGCAAGGTGTGTCATGTTCCAGCCAGCCAGAACACAGTATTTCAAATAATGTGGTTGCTTGAAATAATCAACCATATACGCACACTTTTTGTGGACATTGTTCGGTAGTTGGCATTTGGCAGTCAAGGTCTGTAACAAATGGCAGATAGGGACATTTTGCACATTAATGACTTGTCTATCTTTAATAATTGAAAACTAAATAGAAACAATGTTTAATCCCTTTTAATTATATTACCTAATATCAGATAGTATTAATCTTTTACCTGGGACTACACTATCTCCTGTGCTGAGAAATCCAAAGACATTCAATCTGTAGTTCATAGACACAATTATTACATCTCCCATCACAGTTAGTGCTGTGCCATCATATACTTTGTCAGTGCTCCCCTCTTGGTACCTACAACAAATAACCAATAACCCAAATCACAAATCATGCTAAAAATGGAGAATGTAATTTAATTTTTCAAAGGTTCTCGAACTGTATTGTCTGTATATCTCCAAGATGCAGGGAGGTTACCAAAGCTTTTGAACAACATCTCTTTTATTTAGCTGTTTTATACATGTCATAATGATAAGTCTTATCATAAACACAGCTGTATTACTCTACCCCTGGGTTCTTTATATTTTTAAGGCCAGGGTGCATGTTCGGAATTTTGCTGCAACCCTCAATAGAGGTTATTGAAAAATAACATTTGACTCTATTAAGGGTTGCAGCAAAATTCCAGACATGGCCTTAACTGAATAGAAATGAATTTCTGTATTAAAGTATTTCACTCTCAAGTGCACACAAGAGTTGAATGCCTTTATTGAGGTGTTTATTGATCATTCTTCCATTTAGCAGTCACAGTTGAATTTACATCTCAATTCATGAAATACATTTTAGACCATGAATCAAAAATTCTTTGTAAGCATTGGTTAACTGCATTTTCATGACACATTTTAACATTTAATTATGTTAGATTCAACCAGCTGGATTCTTTTTCCAGAAATATGATTTTCTTGAACCAGAATATTTTTTTTTTCAATTTTATTTATTATACCATCACCCAAATAAAGGGTATTAGGCAAAAGTACATACAGTAAATAAGTATTTAACAATTAAGTATTTCATAACAAACATATTTACAATTGCTTCCCAGCCTCATTTAGAAACTTACATAATGCTAACAAGACTTTACTATCAGATTGTAACAGCTTGGCATATTTAAAAGTACTAATGTTTTTACAAAAATATTGGGGTAAGTATTGTTTTCTAATGCTTTTAACAGACTTACATTCTAATATAAAATGAAATTCATCTCCTAATGAATTGTTATTACATAGTTCACAAAATCTTCTATTTCTTTCTACATTTCTATACCTACCCCTCTCAATAGGTAATTTTGTGTTGGACATTCTGTATTTTGATAAAATGACTCTATATTTTTGAGGCAGTGAAAATAAGAAGTCTTCAAACTTGAATTCTGTTTTAAAAATTCTATAATTAAAACCTATGTTACTATTACTTACATCATTTTCCCACGATTCCCTGAACTGGTCTTCTAGCCTTAATTTTACCATTTTAACAAATTTTGAAAAATGCGAACTACTAGGATTTAACCAAATGTTTGTCATACCAAGATTATCTAATGACTTCTTGACATAATCCAGCCAGTCAGACTTCACAAGATTTTTATCAAAATAACTTCTATATATTTTGTACATCTTTGCTGAGAGCATTTTTTCATTGTTAGAGCTTAATCTATACCAATTTTTTGATATACATAAATCAAATTTTACCCTTAATGGCATTCTCCCTAACTCACCATAAACCATAAAGGTTGGTGTTGATGCTTTGACTTTAAGGATATACTTTAAAAACTTTAAATGTAATTTTTCTATTTTTGTATTGTTGATAAAGCCCCATACCTCAGCCCCTTATAACAAAATGGGGGCAACAAGCGTATCAAAAAGATGTAATTGTGTCTTAATTGGTAACGAATATCTATTACCCTGGCTAAGTATAGCAAACATGGCCTTTTCTGCCTGGCTATATACATTTTAATATTTTGATTGAATCCACCCTTATGATCAATAATAACTCCAAGATATTTTAAAACAGACACATTTTCCAGTTTAATTCCATCCAAAACTACATTTTGAATACCTTGATGTGCGTCATCCATAAGTGGAATAGGTTCACAACTATTGTCAAGTAAAAAGGCTTCTACATCATTTATAAACAAAGCATAGAGCAAAGGGGAGAGATTTTCTCCCTGACATAGCCCTGAAGATGAGCTAAAAAAATCAGACTTTTTAACATTATCATGAGATACACAACTCTTAATATTATTAATAATGTAGCATCCACATTTAACTGATGGCTGACAGTTCAACTTACTTATTTATACTATTTTATGGCCAACTTATTTAAATATAAATGGAATAGTAGCAGGTACTATCCATATTTAAATGAGTTGCCCCTAAAATAGTAGATTAATCTGTGAGCTGGCAGTTGAACTCAAAAATTCTACCTAAAAATTATTGTGCTTGTTAGTTATATATTGTGCAAAAAAGCAATTTTATATTTAGATTAGAAAATTCGTTGAGTGCTAAAAGTTATATGCTGGTTAATCTTAGCATGAAGTTCAATAGTTCAACAAGTTAAACCTAGTCTGGGCCTTATTTCTTATCTGACATATCTTGTGGCCCGCCCTAGGTTTAACGTCCGTGCCTATTCGGCCCTTGATGCAAAATATTTAATAGTGGCCTATGGAAGCGCATAGAATTTTATGCGCGTTTAATTTATAACTGATAGTGAGAATTTGCAACAAATAAAACTATGGCACGGAAGTTAAACCCAATCACGGCAACAATAACATTCAGATTAATAAATAAAAGCCGTGGTATTGGGTTTAACTTGTTGAACTAGAAGTTCAAGAGAACCATAGTTTGTTGAACAAATATTAATTTCTTAGTCATTGTTAGTTTGGTTGTGTATTACCAATATCCACATGAGAATTTACATTGTCATTGTTCAAATACTCTCCAGATTTGTACAATACAATGGTTTATAGACCACTCATGTCCTTGAGAAAGATTTGAATCTCATTTGAATAAGTAGAATTTTGGAGACAGGTTTTTATGGAGAAATGTTTGAATCTCATTTGAATTAGTAGAATTTTGTAGGAAGGTTTATGGAGAAAGGTTTGAATTGAACAAATTGTTTGAGATTAAGGACAGGGTGCATGTTGGGAAATTTTCTGCATTCCTCAATTGAGTCACATGTTATTTTTCAAACATGAATAACTCCTTTGAGGAATGCAGAAAATTTCCCATCATGCACCCTGACCTTAAGATGTACTTACCCTCCCCCATGTATCCAAACCATTACAGCCTTTGGTTGAGAGTTTGACCCATTACCAGGTGCCCATATGTTCAAGGTCAAACAGTCCTCTGATATGTTGTCAACAGAGCCCCCTCGTGTCTGATATGTTGTAGAATCCTGAATACAGACTTTGCCATATTGTGTTGCGTTCCGTGTCTCATTCCATGTTGTCGTCAATGCTCGTGGAGGTCGGAATCTCAGATCCCCAACGGGAGGATCGGCATATGGGATTCCGAGATACGTCCTGAACTCCAGATCTTTGCCTTGAAGTTGCGGTATATATTCTTTGAATTCTTCAAGCGAGTTCAAAGTTCCTCTAATTGGTCCGGCTGGGATAGTAATGAGTGACTCCTCTTGAGCAGTGCCACTCATAAACTGCACTAGCATTATTGCCAGGACTAGCAACATTTTGTTAAATCCAAAGCTCATCACCTACTATTTTTAATTTGATTTTTTAGTGTACAGAGTCAGCTGAATCAAAAAAGCTCATTGATATTAAAAGCACATTGAAATCATAAATTCATTGATCTGTACAGTTCAACGTTTAAATTGCTATGAGTATTTTGCCAACACACCTTAAACTTATGAAATACACTTATGGCACTCCTTATATTCACTGACTCATGCCAAATCTCATGCAGTGTTGAAAACTAGCCCTGCCAGGGAGTATGTGATTCATGTGTGTTTGTTCAGTCAACTGTGTTTACAAAAGGGTTTAACTCCTCAAATTACAAGAGGCTTACTGCACACAAAACTAAATAATATGAAATATACAATTGTCATTCATGTACAATTTAAATACAATTTTCCATATATTATTGCACGATTGTCTTTTGATTTCTTATTTTTTAGGTTTTACTGAGATAGTAGACTAGTGAATTGAGCTTTACATTAGGCATTTAATTAGTGATATAGTAATTAAAAGTTTTAAAATAATTAAACACAGGTCTTTATACCATATACATCCACTAGGGTGTCAAGTAGAAATTTGTAAATACCACTACATGTAAGGAAATAAAGCTGAATTGAATTGAAATTGAATTGAATTGAAAAGCAAGCCAAACCTTTGAAAAGCAAGCCAAACCTTTTAATGAATCAAATGCCTGAGTGAGTGCTTTAAAGGTTGAATAAATAGCGTCAAGTTCTATCCAACGATCATGGATCTGTCATAAAAAGAAAGATTTGAACACGCTATGACATTCATAAATATATGTATTCGTATTTTTTAATTATGCAACCAGAATTTGTACACATACCTTATTTAATAATATAATAATAATATATATTTCAGTTTAGTCAATTTTTACATTTACATACAGTTTTTATGGAAAAATAATGAAAATGCAATGACACTTAAAATAAGTGTATTAAATTACACAATAGTTTTAATAAATGTTTATTGGAAATAGAAAAGGTACAAAAGAAAAAGAAAAAGGGAGTCATTTGAAGGGAGAGTTTGCTATTATTGGTATTCAGGTTCAATGTGTCTAATCTCTATAACAATCATCTATGTTAGTCAATGATGCAGTTTAACCCCTGGTTGGCCCATGTTCCCCCCAGGATGTCACCCTGCACCACTAACCAACGCGTTGAACAACATTTTGAGTGGTTAAAATAAAAGTTCCTACTCAATCGTGTTTTTAAACACTTTATATAACATCATTGGATAATAGGTCATAAGTATTAAGATTGATAATTCTAAATTATTGACAAAAGAGAAAATCATCTTTATCTTCCGGCTTCTTCATCTCCGCCATTATTTTGAATTTCCCACCACGCATGCACAGATAAATATTCTGCGAAAAATTACTCAACAGAGGGCGCTTGACACGGAAGAACAAACGCGCCAAACCAAAATCACTTTTATTTCAAATTTTGCGATAGATTCAACTCTAAATGCTTCATATTCATCTTCAAATGATTACTATGCTTTCTACTAGAAAGGGTTTCATTAAAATACTCACATAATCAGAGTTTTCTCGACTCGAAAATACTAAGTAAATATCTATTTTAAGCACCTATCTATCGATACAAAAATAAAATGAAAAGTGCATAACTCTTTCAAATCTCAGAGCCTTGTTTGTTTTGTTATTTGGTGCACTGAACGAACTATTTTGTTAGTTCAAATTATCTCCACCAGGTGTTCTGAAGCAAGAAATTCAAAAATTGAAAAAGTTGACGTCCACTTTTTCAATTCTCCATTTCAAACTTAATTTTCAAGTATAAATAGTGATATATGTGGACATATCTATACATTTTAAGAAAATGGGTCTGAAGGAAAAGATGGTGAAGCAAATGATGAGCTGATAGCTCGAAAGGTAGAAAAATCCCTGAATGTCCCCTGTATTCCATATTGCACCTTTAATGGCATCTCTTAACTCCATGTAGTGACTGGACTGTTAGGTGTATGCCAAAGATTAGATGCATTTTTTGGTATATTTTTGTTAATGTAACATGGCCATTTTCATACTTTCATATTTCTCACTTTTTATATTGATCAGTCCTATATATTTCACTTATTCTCATTTTAACAGGTCCCTAGGTTACTATTGTATCAGTGCCAAATGTTTTAATCCTCTTGTTTGCCATGCCTTACCTGCTATCTTTTGTTTCAAACCAGTTTTTAGCTTTTCATGTTGTATTTTCAATGTTGTTTTGTATTGTGTAACTGCCATATATGGAAAACATTCACTCACTTGAGTTTGGGTGTTGGCCCAGCCTCAGTTGTTGCTTATACATAGACTGTACAGAACATGATTTTTGAAGAATTGAAATAGATTTGTTTTTATCGTATTTTATTTATATTACTTTTCTGTTGACTTTTATATTATTGCCACCCACGGCCTTAAATACTCTGAATTGATTTTATTTATTCATTTAATTATATTTTTATCATTGCTCAGATTTAGGTTTGATATAGATGTCCATCAACTGGGCCAATTTGGATTTTCAGTCCCAAAATCCTGTCTGCAAAGCCTCGTCTTTCTTATTAAGTAACGGATAAACAATCAGTCTTGGGGATTAGGAAAAGTAATGGCCAAGGGGCGTAGCCTAAGACCCAAGACGAATTGTTTATCTAACTTAAACCACACAATGGGTACTCAGACTCCTTTGTAAGGTTAATTGTACATAATCCAATTTTAGGAAAAACCAATTTGTTTTGTATTGACTATGAGGTAAGTGTATTGAGAAGTGAGTGGGTGTAATTAGGTCAGCTTCAGTGCACAGTATGCAACAGGGCATGCACAGTTTAAAGTTTGATCTCTTTTGTGTTTACTATTCAACTATTGAAAAAGTGAATAGGGTATAATTAATTAAGCTTTAGTGGACACTGGTGTGTACATTCTTTAAAAACAATAAAAAAAAAAATAATGCACTTCCCTTTTTTATAGCTGGGCATTCTTAAAAATAAAATATGGTTCATTCTATTGTGTTGCTACCTAAGTGTGGTTTAATACTATATAGTATTCAAATTTCCGGGATGTCTCCTCTGATATTATGATAGATCTGAAATTTTCAACATTTATAATTTGAGTATATACATTTATAATTTGAGTATATACATACCGCATTTCAAAATTACTTCAACTTTTTACACATGTTACATGGTAAGAAGTTCTAGAGCTGATTAACTTTTCAATGGCCATTTTGCTTTCTGGTGGCCATTTTCATTACTGAATGCTGAATCTTTTTATTTTCGATGTTATGAGTATTGGATATCAATTTTTATCCCATCGAACGAAGTTCGGAGGGATATAGGGAACGCCTCCGTCCGTCCGTCCGTACATACGTCCGTCCGTACGTACGTCCGTCCGTCCGTACGTACGTCCGTCCGGGCAATAACTCAAATACCGTTGGCCCGATTTTATTCATATTTTGTACACATATACCCTATGGGGGTAGAAGTTCTGCTCGAAAGCCGATTTTCAAAATGGCCGCTCATTTAAAAATGGCGGCCATTTTAGTGCCGATTTTACAGTAATTTAGGTGCAATATGTAAAACTGTAATAGCAATATGTTTTAAATGTAAAAAAAATTATATAGGACATAAATAAAGCTAGAAGTGTAGATATTAAAAAGGCACATGGCAGCCATCTTGAAAAATGGCGGCCTTTACTCGTTATTTTAAGATTTTTGCTGTAACTCGAAAAGTAGTTGAGCGATTTTGTTCATATTTGGTATGTGAATACTATAAGCATGGCACACTGTCTAATGACACTTTTGGTAGAAGGCGGCCATTTTGAAAAATGGCGGACATTTTGAAAAATGGCCGCCATTTTAACTTATTTTACTAAAACTCGAAAAGTAGTGGAGCGATTTTGTTCATATTTGGTATGTTAATACGTATAAGCATGGCACACTGTCTAATGACACTTTTGGTAGAGGGCGGTCATTTTTCAAAATGTCCGCCATTTTAATGTATTTTACTATAACTCGAAAAGTAGTGGAGCGATTTTGTTCATATTCGGTATGTGAATACTGTAAGCATGGCACACTGTCTAATGACACTTTTGGTAGAAGGCGGCCATTTTGAAAAATGGCGGACATTTTGAAAAATGGCTGCCATTTTAACTTATTTTACTATAACTCAAAAAGTAGTGGAGCGATTTTGTTCATATTTGGTACGTGAATCCGTATAAGCATGGCACACTGTCCAATGAGACTTTTGGTAGAAGGCGGCCATTTTTCAAAATGGCCTCCATTTTAACGTATTTTACTATAACTCAAAAAGTAGTAGAGCGATTTTGTTCATATTTGATATGTGAATATTATAAGCATGGCACACTGTCTAATGACACTTTTGGTAGAAGGTGCCCCTTTTGAAAAATGTTCGATGGGATTCGCTACGCTTTGGCGTTGCCGTTGTTCTGGTTTCAATTTTTCTCCAACATGTATTGTAATGACTTCAGTATGAATGAAATGTCCCTTGGTGTTCTGGTCCTGGATTGTGATATTGGTTCTCGATTGGAGGGGGGAGGGGGATATTAGACATTGTTTCTTTTCATATTAGATCATGGTTTTGGGATATATAGGGTCTACTTTTCTTATGACAGATTGACACAGAGTTTGCTTTTCTTGTTGGGTTTCTTTAAAGTTTTTAGTCAACCTTTCCAATGGCACTTGTGCTTATATATATATCTTTTATTGACTCTTTTAGATGTCATATCATGACATATTAGTCATTAAGGTAGAGCAGTTCTTCCCATTGTCGAGTTGAAGAACTGGTATCTTTATCCTGGCTAGAACCATAGACAATTCTAGCCAGCGCCAGCCGTTTATCGAGTTAGCAGCACTCTAGTAATCGCCGGTCGCTTATATATTCGAAGTTTTTGAATAATCTTGTCATCGTGATTCCAGGAAAACCACTGAACTGATCAAATTTTTATACAGGTTACATGGAAAGAAGTTCTAGAACTTTTTGGAAGCCATCTTGCTTACTGGGTCAACAAGCCTACACTGCTATATTTTTGGTACGATATTGTTCACCCTGTACCTTGTTGTTTTATGATCTGTCTTTGAGTCAAAGGAATAACAACACGATTTTCCTCAAAAATCAGACCATCTTGGACAACAAGTTTGTCCCTAAAGTTGAAATAAGGATGAATTTGGGAATTATTCAGGTCCTTTTTAAATTCTGGCCACCCATCAAGTATAGTGGCTTTAAGAATTTGTAGAGTTTCGTCTTTGTCAGTATGACTCTTGATTTCATTTAGTCTATGATCAGTGATTGCAAAATAAGATACCTGATTTACTACCCTTTGCATTCGTTTGACTTCACTTCTTAAAAGAGAGCTTCGTCTTCACTCTTTCAAACTAAAATAAACCTGTGAACTCACCGCGCCAATCAGTGTTCGTCGGCCAAATTTGACCGACGTTCTATATATGGTCATTCCTTCTGATGTCATCGTTGACCCGGAATTGACCAATGACATGAGCATATTTAATTAGAACGCATTTGGCGTGTGTTTCTTCAAGCTCGCTGAATGGTGGAAGAAAGGTCAGCGCGTAGGTCAGAAGTGATTTATTACTCAAACTGTCACCGGTACCCATCGTGGGGGCAGGGCTACTAAACTGTAATATGGTCTCTACTAGGCAGAGTGTAGTTTAACTAGACTCTGCACGCAGGGTACTGATTTACTGGATAATTGATCTTGAATGTCAACATTTTCAGTGTCAGTTAAGTATGCTCTAGAGAGAGTATCAATATTGGTTGAGATTTATGCAATTGGCACTGCGTCTAATCCAGTAGCCTCACATTGAATGACTTATTCTTTAGAACAATCATATTACCTAAGAATAGGAGTTTTAGTTGCAAGATCTTTCATCTTTTGAAAAGCTGATGATAAGATTGTTATCTATTTAAAGACATCAAAGATATATCTTTTCCAACTGTTATTTAACGGAAAATGACTTATTGGTCAAGGGTCACTACAGGGCCATACATTACATGTGAATTAGTTAATCTACTTTCGTCTTAGTATTTCTTCTGAAAGTACAAGATATCTAACATCTATAATTACATTTTGTAGTATTCATTAATAAAAATGTCTGGAGAAAAAACTTTAGAAACATTTTCAATGATGTCAAATATAAGTGTAAGTTGGCACATTGGATCAGTTTCTGAGTCTGCAAATAAATTATTTTGGATTAGTTAGAAAACTATGTCTGAATGTAAACTCTCAAATCCTGCATCAAATATCTGAATGATCTCTAACTATCTAGCTAACTTAACCTTTTATCCTGTATCAGTATGTGGACAATAGTACTTAAAACAAGCTGCACTTAAAACAAGCAGTATCTTACTGGTGGCTATATAGACTTATTGACCCCAGGTCATTTTGGTGATTTAAGCTGACCAACATCAAGCCAAATATTTTAAACAAAATAGCCAATATTCATCTTTATTTTCCATTATTTATGTTGTTTTAGAAGACTAAAAAACTTCATACCAATGAAATATAAGATCTTAGCTAAAGATCTTCTGGATGATTTTCTGGATGAATGAGGAAACAGAAATGGTAGCATTATGATGTTAAAATCATAGTATAAAATATGTGATGTTGGTTCAATGGGGAACTGCTTTAGGCCTAGGGTCAATACAACCTACTTGAGATTTGTTTTGTTCATGGTATAGGAAAAGTAGTACTTAAAACACTAGTTTGCTACTTTGTAGATGTATGGCACATATATGTGTACATGTATTGACAATTAATGTTTGGTAATAGCTAGTAGGAGTGTCAGGGACCGCTGACAGATTATAATTTGGAACCAAAAAATTGATTTATTTTTTTGGCGGTCTCAGTAAATCAATGGGGTAATCAGGTCCTACGTGCTTTTTACAGATCCAGAAATCAATGCTCGCTTATAAATGTAGCAAAATCTTTTTTCGTTCGTAGGATATTTTTTTCACCATATAACCGAACGAGAAGTTTTTGAATAGGACTACATGATCTGAATGGATGCGAGGATTCGATGGGCTGGGATTTGAGAAATTATGATTTGAACTTTGTCAATTTTACATGTATTCCATTGGGTGAAAAAGTAAGTTGCTTTCTACCTAATATCAACCACATTTATCAGTGAATTTAGAGAAATATGTCGAATTTAGCCATATTTCGCATATCTTTCTATGGAACCATTTACAGTTTTGCAAATTAACCCCTAAAATTCTGGAGACGACGATATAAATTTTGCTGAGTCAGCAATTTTCGTTTTTTCATTGAAAACAGTACTTTTCAGCCTAAATTAATACATTTCTGCTCTTTTATCAAGTAATTTGATGCAGTTCTTGCCAAATTAAAGGAAACATACCCCAAATGTTCCACAGTGTGCAAAGTTCCAACATTTTGACCCTTTAAACCCAAAAAGACCCAATTTTAAAGGGACGTATTCAGTAAACCTGCACAAAAGACAATGCTACTTGAACTAGCTATCAGAACTTCATGAAAAATGAAAAACCAATGATTTTCAGTTTAGTAAAGTAGCAAATAGTCATACTCATGAGAGAATATAAATCACTTGTGCAATTTGTGCAACTTTAAACAGTTGTTTTAAGTAGATTAGTATCGTTATGGGCAAAAATCCCCCAAAATAACCCAAAATTTGTCCAAAAAATCAAATTTTGCATGCTCAAGGCTGAATTATTTTGCCTATTTTGCTACATTTATAAGTGCAGTGACAAGAAGTCTTGTGGATAGCGCAACTTTTCCTGAACGTTTCTCTAATTCTCTAAAGTTATTTTAATGACAAAAATAACTACATTTAGATTGGAATAAATTGTCACAAAATATAATAACCCAAGGGGTCAAGAGAACCCTATAAAATCAAAAGTGCTGAGGGGGTTTGAGCAAAAATGTACATATCACTTCATAAAACCCCAAACTTTAAAATTCATATTGAACAAAATGCATATTCAGTCAACCATGACACTAATAGGGTCAATACAACCTACTTGAGATTTGTTTTGTTCATGGTATAGGAAAAGTAGTACTCAAAACACTAGTTTGCTACTTTGTAGATGTATGGCACGTATATGTGTACATGTATTGACAATTAATGTTTGGTAATAGCTAGTAGGAGTGTAAGGGACCGCTGACAGATTATAATTTGGAACCAAAAAATTGAATTATATTTTTGGCGGTCTCAGTAAATCAATGGGGTAATCAGGTCCTACGTGCTTTTTACAGATCCAGAAATCAATGCTCGCTTATAAATGTAGCAAAATCTTTTTTTGTTCGTGGAATATTTTTTTCACCATATAACCGAACGGGAAGTTTTTGAATAGGACTACATGATCTGAATGGATGCGAGGATTCGATGGGCTGGGATTTGAGAAATTATGATTTGAACTTTGTCAATTTTACATGTATTCCAATGGGTGAAAAAGTAAGTTGCTTTCTACCCTAAGATTCTTTTCCTGAAAATGGGCTAGACATCTATTGGCTGTTTATAGAGTATTTTCAACTATTTAGCTAGGCTTAACTCCTTTATTGAAGTCTACATCCTTTTTCATAAGTTGACCTATCGGCTTAAGAATGTCAGAGATTTTTGGTCCCATTCAGTCTATATCAGTCTTATTCTGGGGCTGAGGCATTTTCATTATTATAGCAGAGATTTTGTCTGGTTCAACAGAATACCCATCAGAAGAGAATATATGACCCATGAACTTTTTTATATGGCGATTAGCACTTGAAGATGCTTCTTTGAGAATAACTTAACTACCCAATGTAACATTTACTGATATAAATTCATAATAAAAAAACAAACCCAAAAAATTGATCTTATCTTGTTTCAGTTTCATTTTACTTATACTTTATATTTTACTCAAATTTTCAGGATGTTTCAGGAGACCTGATTTTTTGGGAATTCTACCTGTACATGTACTTTGTTTTTTCAATCATAACTTCTCTATTTTAGGTATGATATTTATCATAAACCTTGCATTATTCATGCCTAAAACTGATGATTTTAGAGGGACAAATTGCTATTCATGTCTAAAACTGATGATTTTAGAGGGACGAATTGCTATTCATGCCTTAACCTTTAGCATGCTGCCTTATTTCAGCAAATATATCCCACACGACTGGCTTATTTTTCAAAGAGTGCAAAGAATGATATGCCTGGACTAAAAAATTAATATCTCAATAACTGCTGAATGAATCTGAATAAAATTTTCACAAAAGAAAGATACACTGGCCTGGCTCATGAAAAAAAATTCTCATGAATTTTTTTCGTAAATAAACATGACTGGGCATAAAAATACTGTAAGTACTCTTCGCCCCTGGGAAGATTCAACGTCTGTTCAGAATCCAACACTGAATTTCCAGCGATCGAATGTTCAACTTTTCAGTTCAGAAAATATTTTAGTTTCTATTTTCAATGACCATTATCGGTTTCCAAGAGCCTTAAGAGCTCAAAATCGCAATCCATTTCCTCCACATTTTTGTTGTGATCGTATTTGGCCGCCATTTTGTGTGATTTGTTCACTAAAAACGACTAAAACTCTGTTTAAATTGTTGAATTGGGAAATATTTTTCAAAAGATCGCCATTCTAGGTCAACAGGAAGTCATGTAAGGCATTGAATAAATCCTGCAATCTAATAGGATAATAAGAATGGCGCGAAAAAGTAAAGTTTTTAAAAGTTTGAAATCGGGTGGATGGATCCGCCGGCAGTCACTTGGGATAGTAAAGCACGGGCGGATACACTCGCCGGCAGCATGCTAAAGGTTAAATTGATGATTTTAGAGGGACAAATTGCTATTCATGTCTTAAACTGATGATTTTAGAGGGACTTTGCTATTCATGTTTGTTTTGTATATATTCCAGAAAAAGAAATCGAAGAAGGATCCATTGTTGATGAAAAAGTCAAAGAGTGACCCAAATGCTCCTAGTAATAACAGGATCCCCCTTCCGGAAATGTAAGTCCCAATTACATATTGTGCTGTCTTATTTTTCTGTAAATGCTACTATAAGTTGGTGGGAAGTATATCTAATTTTTACTGCCTTCACAACATTATACACTTAAAGTAAAACCAATCTGAACAGTGGGGGCTCACATTTCAAGGTTTAATAAATAATGTCAATGAGAGATAACAAATTTGGGACCAAGAAAAAGTATTGAAAAGGTGTTGAGAGGTGTTTAGATTAGGTGTTTTAGTGTACTTACATTGTTTCTGTCAGCCTCATTTTGAAAATTCTGTTAACCATTTGATATGGCACCATATCTTAAAAGCTGTATTTAAAGTAAAAATTTGCTAAAATTATATGTTTTGTACTGTTGGTTCACAAAAATACCATTTTTACTTTGACATTCTAGGAAAGATGTTGACAAGATTGATCGGATTAACTTCTACAGAGAAAGTATGAAGAGAGTGAAGTTAGGACCAACTACTCAACCTTCTATATGTTTCTATACATTCCTCAATGGATACCATGAGTAAGTTAGGACCAAATACTCAACCTTCTATATGTTTCTATACATTCCTCAATGGATACCATGAGTAAGTTAGGACCAACTACTCAACCTTCTATATGTTTCTATACATTCCTTAATGGATACCATGAGTAAGTTAGGACCAACTACTCAACCTTCTATATGTTTCTATACATTCCTCAATGGATACCATGAGTAAGTTAGGACCAACTACTCAACCTTCTATATGTTTCTATACATTCCTCAATGGATACCACGAGTAAGTTAGGACCAACTACTCAACCTTCTATATGTTTCTATACATTCCTCAATGGATACCAAGAGTAAGTTAGGACCAACTACTCAACCTTCTATATGTTTCTATACATTCCTCAATGGATACCATGAGTAAGTTAGGACCAACTACTCAACCTTCTATATGTTTCTATACATTCCTCAATGGATACCACGAGTAAGTTAGGACCAACTACTCAACCTTCTATATGTTTCTATACATTCCTCAATGGATACCACGAGTAAGGTAGGACCAACTACTCAACCTTCTATATGTTTCTATACATTCCTCAATGGATACCACGAGTAAGTTAGGACCAACTACTCAACCTTCTATATGTTTCTATACATTCCTCAATGGATACCACGAGTAAGGTAGGACCAACTACTCAACCTTCTATATGTTTCTATACATTCCTCAATGGATACCATGAGTAAGTTAGGACCAACTACTCAACCTTCTATATGTTTCTATACATTCCTCAATGGATACCATGAGTAAGTTAGAACCAGGATGAGTAAATTGAAGCTACATACTTACTATTCAAAAAATTTGGGGGTAAAAATATGTGCAGTAAAATATGTTAAGAAAAATGCCCGAGAGACCTCAAATAATTAGTGAGATAATCCAGTAGGTAAATCATCCAATGCAAATGTAAATCTAATAGAACTGATGTTGTGACTGTGTTTAAGCTTTTCATATTGTATAACCCACTTCCTAATGTTGTAGGGTGACGTGTATTGAGTTCACAGAAGATTCATCTCTAATAGCTGCAGGTTTTTCTAACTCTTCTATACGCATATGGAGCCTCACTCCAAATAGACTTCGTACAGTAAAGGGACCAACAGATCTCAGTATAATAGACATCGAAGCAGGTAGGCCTATTTTATGATTCATTATCCAAATGAACAAAGTTCTGTAGGGATATAGTGAAGCTCTCTGTCTGTCCGTCCATCAGTCATCCGTCCGTCTGTCCGGAAGATAACTCGAGTACTATAGTAGAAGGATTTTCTTCATATTTAGTGGAAAGACTGGTGAATAGTTCTATGCAAAAAATCCCAAGATGGCTGTCGCTTTAAAAATGGCAGGAACATTTCGCAAAAATCTAAGTTTCATTTTCAAACAAAGTAACAATAAATATTACTGATCATTGAAAATTTGGTAGTGTTTTCACGACATATATTCATTTCACATACATTCCATGTTTTCAACCTGACCCCCCATGGACTCTGTATGCTAAATTGGGAAAACAGGAATTTTTGTTAATATTGAGATCTTTCTGAAGTATAGCTTTATTATACTCAAATTAAAGGAGCAGATAGCATATATTGTATCATTTTTCTGAATCGGATCTCGTAAAATTCAAAATGGCCACCTTATGTGGGGTTTCACAATAATTTTCTGACCTCTTCAAAGTATGGCTATGTTATACTCAAATATTGATAATAAATCTCTAATGTCATGGGCAAAGCGCTATTTTTATGAGTAGTACGCTAGCTATTTGAACAATGCAAAAAACGAGAGTTCAGGCGGGTCTGGGGGTTCTCCCCCTAGGAAAATTTTGGATTTTTGGTTGTATTTGGAGCGTATTTGCAATCATCTGGTACGCCTGTGAGTACTAGGTGTACCGGGCGCTACGCCCATGAATGGATGTCTTTTAATATCTGCCAATTTAATCAAGGGTAGTTGGTAAATATTACATTGTGACATATACAGATTCATGAATATAGTGTTCGTTGGGATTAGCTACTCCGTGGAGCTGTCAATTTCTAGTTGTTTAGCATATGTCATATTAATTCTGGACCACAATTATGAAATAATATGAAATGGTTCCCTATAATCTACATGGTTATTAGTCTTAGTATCAATATGATTGGTTTTAGTAACCAAATGTTTTGGTTAAAAGATTCTCAAAATGGTCTCCAGCATTAATAGGTTCATATTTTGAGTCACCAATACTGCTAATCATTGCATCATAATCAGGATTCCCAAAGTAGATCATACTGAATCTAGACTTTTCTCCCCCTTCCATGTCTTCTGGTTCACATGGCAGCTTCACCACTCTGTGTGGCTGGAAAAGATCAGAATATTAACATTATTAAACAGAGTTCAATCTTTGGAATATTTGGATACAGTTTATTGTAATATTTTTCAAGAGAGTTTGTGGCGTAGTTGAGTCTCTCTATCTTTTACAAAACATGAAAACAAATATAGTTTAAAATATTAATTTATTCAAGAAAAGTTAAAGTCCAAAAATATCATTTCAATCGGCTACTTACAGTTTTTAGTTTGTCCCGAGTTCACGCAACGAGGTTCCGAGGATTTCAGACAAAATTGCCCCTTTTATACCCAATTTTTTTTTATGTTGTCGCCGCCAAAATAAGGGGTCTTATCCAATGAAATCCCTAAAAACCCATTAACAAGAATTGGCCGGAAAGAAGTGTGAAAAATTATATGAAGATTAATTATCAACATGCCAAATTTCTGCCCACATTATTTTCTAAAAAGTTGAAAAGTTCCCATTTATTTCAGTTTTTGTTGAAACTTTTGAGACAGGTATGATTAATAACTGAATCCCAGAACCTCGGTTCAGACAATTCTCATGAACTTTTTACCCTACTCATTTAAACCATTTTAGTCATTATCTCTTTAAAATACATGTTTTATAATATTTTAAACAATAAAAGTTAGCAAATTCCTTATACAATTACATTACAATGTTTTTCATACATCAAAATGTATATTTCACTTACAAAATACTGGTTTTTGGTCAATTTGTCCATCATCACTAGTGGTTGGAAGACTGACTCGTGCACTCGAGTTTTACTCGCATTTGTCCTTAAATTCAATTGATCGAGTTGAAAACTTGAACTCACGATTTTAAATTTTTACCAAAAAAATATTTTTCACTCGTTTTCACCTTACCTTGACTCGCGATTCGTCTCTCCTATTCGCAATTTCAATGCTTATAGTTGTAATGTTCTGCTTAATCTGTATAGAATACAACTTATTTTCTATTTAATGCCATGTGTGGAAGACAAACATACTTGGATTTTATTCTGCATTCGTTATTTTTATGCAAAAGTTTCATTTCCAGTTTGCAAAAGTTTCATTTCCGGTTTGATGCATTCTGGGAATATCCAACAGCCGGGAATTTTGAAATTTGTCTACCGCGGTGCATCCTGGAACTTTCTGGATTGACGAAGTTTGTTTTCACTATTTATCCGGTAAGTTTTACTATCTATAGGGAACTAGGGGTGAACCTTAACGATCTATCGGGATGTGCAATATGATTTAGACAATAAAAAGTATAGAGGCACTTGAAAGACTTGATCAAATTGATGAATTCTGCCGCTACTTGGGAAACTGAAACCGGAAGTAACTCAACTAAGTCAAATCGCGAATATAATCGTGGTTTTTCATGGCCCACTCGAGTGGAGATTTTCAGGCGAGTCCGACCACTAATCATCACCCATCAATTTATCATATCCTATTGTTTTACAAAAATGACATCATATACCAATATGTTTATGAATCTATGGAAGCTAGACAAAACATCATTAATTGAATATGATAGCTTCTTGGCTTCATTCAAAGTTATACTGTCACTCAATAGACTAGACTTCCCCCTTTCTTGGAACCACTTCTTGCCATTGGCTATGTGATTTACCTGTCAAATCTACCATCAGTCCTTACTATAAAACATGTTCAATTGAATGCAAGTTATCTTTATCTAAGTTTAACTTTAGCATTCTGCAACATCCATAGAAGTTTAAGATTGTGTCATTGAGTTCAAGGTAATATTGATAAATTACTAAATTAATAACATTTTCCATCTTAGAAGCCTCAGTTAATTTCACAAAAATTAAATGGAAGTGAACAATTTCTTCTTGTTTTACATTATGATGTCTTATTCGAAAATTGTTTATATCCACATGCCAAGAAATGATGCATCTTCAATGTCTACAGTAAACAAAGCTGCAAGTTCCCAAAACATTCTGCCCTTATGATGATATCAGCATAACAGAAGTATTTATTCTAAGATTTCTGTATTTGTAAGCAATTTGTAGAGTATTCAAGATTATTATGACCTAAGTTTCAAACATCTATGAACTAAAAATCAAACTTTGTCACAAGTTCCTATGAACCCATTGCGAAATTCAATGTGATGGAAATAATAACACAAATGATAATACAAAATGATTCCACGGTTTGTTTAAGGTGCTCCCAAATAAAAAAATAAATCACTTTGAATACACCTTATCGTCTGTCCTTGACTCAGAGATTGAAATAATGTCTCACATTTGCCTGAAACTTGTCTGAAGTCCATCGCTGCATTAGGTCCGCGATCAGAACAATAACACAACCGTCTTTTGGTATGACATCAATCCAGCATCCAGAGCGTGATTTCACCTAAACATGTAATCAGAACTATAAAACAACCATCTTTAGGTGTGACATCAATCCAGCCTCCAGAGCGTGAATTCACCTAAACATGAAAATATGGTTAACATGAAGATAACACTTAACTCTATGCCTAAAGTTCTCAAACCTATATACATGTACATGAAATTAGGCAAGTCATATGTTTAACTCTGTATCTCCAAAAGCACTCATTTCCATGAAACTACTGACTCACCTGAAACCCGCCTACACTATCCTGTGCAATGAAGGTGACTGTACCCCAATCTGTGTGTTCTCCTAAGCGCATTTGATTCTCAGTCTTTTTAAAATCTTCTGGCATTTTTGGATAGTTTAATATCCTAAGCTGGGTCTTTGACTTCTTGGTATGAATATTATGGAGTTTTGTAAAGAAGGTTCTCTCCTTTAGACGCATGGAAATAAGAATATTATGAGCATACACTTCATATTGTATGTTTTCAAAATTGTTTGGTGGGCAGAAGCAATTTTTCTTTGTCATACTGCTGATAATTATAACCTTTCTGTCAAAGTGCTTTCACATGTTGTGTCTTAGGTGTTCTAACTTTTCACTAAAACATTTTTATAGAAACTTATTTTTTGGATACAGTTGATGTGGTTAATAAGTTACTTTATTGTGACATCAACCTTATCAAAAACAACATAGAAAACCTAAATCATTTTATAGTATGACTTAATACATTTACTTTTTTGTACAAACCTGATTTAATGATAATGCCATCACCTCAAGCACTCTCACAAACAATTTGGTGAATTCTCTGAACATTTCTGTAAAGACTTCTTTGAAACCATTTACATTTTCAGGCCATTTCTGTTAAGTAAATTATTTGTTATATTTTACAGTATGAGTATACCTTGGGGTATATACTAGTAATACTTCAGTTACTTGCATAAATTTGAATTTCAATGTCAAACAATTAAAGAAATTACAAACTTAGGTTGGAGATTCCAAGAGTAGTAGATCCAATGTAATTAAAGATATGTATTTAAAGGAAAGAAGTCACATCAACCTAAAGATTATTAATAACTGAGGTACTCACAGGAGGGAGCCAGTATTCATAATCATAAAGTTCTTTTACATCAACTGATCCACCCAACCTGAAAATACCAAGTTTGGTGAGATGACTGTTGCGAATGGCTGATTTAATGGAGGTGTTGTGAAAATACCAAGTTTGGTGAGATGACTGTTGCAAATGGCTGAATGAATAGAGATGTTGTGAAAATACCAAGTTTGGTAAGACGACTGTTGCAAATGGCTGAATGAATAGAGGTGTTGTGAAAATACCAAGTTTGGTAAGACCACTGTTGCGAATGGCTGAATGAATGGAAGTGGTGTGAAAATACCAAGTTTGGTGAGATGACTGTTGCGAATGGCTGAATGAATAGAGGTGTTGTGAAAATACCAAGTTTGGTAAGACAACTATTACGAATGGCTAAATGAATAGAGATGTTGTGAAAATACCAAGTTTGGTAAGACGACTGTTGCGAATGGCTAAATGAATAGAGGTGTTGTGAAAATACCAAGTTTGGTAAGACTACTCTTGCGAATGGCTGAATGAATGGAAGTGGTGTGAAAATACAAAGTTTGGTGAGACAACTAAAATGGCTAAATGAATGGAGGCGGTGTGAAAATACCAAGTTTGGTGAGACGACTAAAATGGCTAAATGAATGGAGGTGTTGTGAAAATACCAAAGTTGGTGAGATGACTGTTGCAAATGGCTGAATGAATGGAAGTGGTGTGAAAATACAAAGTTTGGTGAGACAACTAAAATGGCTAAATGAATGGAGGCGGTGTGAAAATACCAAGTTTGGTGAGACGACTAAAATGGCTAAATGAATAGAGGTGTTGTGAAAATACCAAGTTTGGTAAGAGGACTGTTGCAAATGGCTGATTTAATGGAGGCAGAATGAAAACTGTTGAACTGTATTTCTTGTCAAAAAGAGATATCCATCATTAAATAAAGTTTTAGATGTAGTAGTCTGTAGTAGTGATCATGTGTTCAAATGTTGCAATAGAGAGGTTAAGCAAGATGATTTTTTATGACGTGAATGGCAAGTTTAAACCTTAACGTTCCCATTTATGTACTATGAACAAAAGTGCTTTAAGCCGAGCACTTCAGACGTAACGTAAACGCAAACCTCAAAATGATTTTTTTCTTTTTCTTAGTGGCCTTTCGTTTTATTTTCTACTTTAAAAGTGTAAAAATATTACTCTATTGACAAATTGATGAAAGTGTTAACAAAGGAGATGTTTTACAGCCTGGCAGTGTTCTATGACATCTTGAATCTTACAGGACGCAATAATATCTGAAATTCTTTAAAGCATTCGTAGTTTTATTACTATAGTGTCACAATATGTATAGTAGAATTAAGATGAGTTGACATGTGGGCTATTGCCATGCATGTAATCTGATCAGATTTTACATTTGAAATAGGTGGCTCAATATTCAAGTTATATTTGATTAGATTGGAAACAAATGATCTCGATATATACACAGATTTGTGTCAAACATATTTATGCATTCGACCTATATCATATTTATCTCAATCGAACTTGATAAAGTACGAAAAATCCTTTATGGAACGACTTACCTAGACTTTGATTTTTCATGTTTGGATGTACGTAAACTGGGAAAAAAGTAGAACAATATGACATTACATCCTGCGAAAAAACTGTGTGCGCCTTCCCGTTCTAGGTTTACATTGTAAAAAGTAGTGTTGCTTAACCTCTCTAATAGCTCAGATATGATACCAATAAATCACTCATCCTTATTTCAGATGTTCAAACATTAAATTTGGGATTTCTTAATTCAGTTTGTAAATCTCTGGGTTAGAACATATATTACGTCCCTAACTATTAAAAAATCTATGAGTGGGTGTTTTTTAAAAACATCATACTTTTGTTCTGCAACACCAGAATAGCCATATTTCCCATCTTCTGTGAAGCCACATTTCTCCTTCTCTTCCCTTGGTAAGCTGAAAAATTCCCTTGCAATATTCTCCATTCTCTTGAACTGGAATGCATTGCATAAAATTATCATTATACGAGATACAGTGAAACCTGTACATGTATAACGAAACACCTCTAAATGTGAACTTTTTTTCTCATTTCCAATTTTGTCATGTCCCGTTGACATACATGTTTATAAAACTTTGAAATGTGAACATGTGCTTATCTGAACACTTTATGCTTGTCCCAGAGCGTTTGGATTTGACAGGTTTTACTGTATGCATGTGGTAGCTCAGAAAGGGAAATGATTATGTAGGATGTACATTGTTCAATATTTACCAAATGAATAAATAGATTTGGCATACATGCAGCTAGCCTCTCTCACCAAATCAGCTGATATGCCATGATTCTTGATATACATAAAGCCCACCCCAGTCAGTGCCTTATACACATCCTCTGTAAGCTCTTGTTATATTAATTAGGCAGTGAATGGTTTGATATAACTGCAGATGTACATGTAGTTAACAGTCTTACCAAATCAGCTGGTATGCCATGATTCTTGATATACATAAAGCCCACCCCAGTGAGTGCCTTATACACATCCTCTGCAAGCTTTTGTTATATTAATTAGGCAGTGAATGGTTTGATATAACTGCACATGTGCATGTAGTTAACGTTTCTCACCAAATCAGCTGATATGCCATGATTCTTGATATACATAAATCCCACTCCAGTCAGTGCCTTATACACATCCTCTGCAAGCTTTTGTTATATTAATTAGGCAGTGAATGGTTTGATATAACTGCACATGTACATGTAGTTAACGTTTCTCACCAAATCAGCTGGTATGCCATGATTCTTGATATACATAAAGCCCACCCCAGAGAGTGCCTTATACACATCCTCTGCAAGCTCTTGTAGTTGTTCATCAGTTGGGCTGTGCTCAGCATCAATATGGAGGCCATAATCCTTGAAGTCAACTATAGGAGTTTCTGCCATATTCCTTAGAATGCATATACATTTATAAGTTAAGTATTAATAACCTTAACTTTTGAAAGTAAACAGCTGTTTTATGTCTATTTGACCTTGCCAATAGAACATTTAAATTTGCTTTTGATAAAAAGTTCATTAAGGGTTAAAACTTTTGTAGTAAACAAAACACAACATAACATAAATCTCTGGGTTAAGTGTATCTACTTTAGAACATTGTTTTTCGATAATAGATATTTGAAATGAAACTCTCACCATGCTAATGTGATCATCCCACTGAACAAAGTTTGTAGGGAAGCAGTCTATTAAGTTGTCCATCCAATTGTTTATACACTTATGCTTATGGGTGAAAGACCTCTGCTCGAGAACAATTTTCAATGTGCCTGCTCAATTCAAAATGGCCATCATTTTTTGTAAAAAATATCTTTCAAGATGGCACTTAATTTCAAAATGGCCACCATTTTTTTGTAACAAATCTTATCTTTGATAACTCAAATACCAGTTGAGAGATTGCATTAAAATTTGGTATGCTGATGCTTGGGGACATAGGAAGGGTACTCAAGAAAAAATTTCAATGTGTCCACTGTATTTCAAAATGACTACCATTTTTTGTAAAAAATGTAATATTTGATAACTCAGATACATGGATAAATAGATGGCAGTAGAGGTTTTGGTTTGGAAAGAATACTATTACTATGGCAAGAGTCAGTTAATTAATCTTGCTAATAAGATTAATATAACACTCAATTAGCGTGCAACGGTTTTGTTGGCATGCAGGTTGTGATTAAACTTAAAAAGATATAATGAACTTTGAAAGATTTCCTTAACATTTTTCCAATGGGGATATTTCCCCTTTCGTCAAAAAATTTAAAAATCAATACAGGATTCCATTCTGTCATCAAATGAAAGAAAATTTTAGTCTTTGATGATTAAAAGATGCAGATATCCACAAAAATTAGACTTTCAATTCAGTGAGATTACACTAAATATGAAAATAAATTCACACAATATTAAAGTTTAATTGATGGGTTTTACTTTATTGAATTGAAAGTTGCAATCTTCACTTTATACAACTTATCTCTGCACTACACTGCTATGGTATCATTTTGGCTACAATAAAACTAAGGGTACAGTGAAATATGGTACAGTAGACTCAAACAGTGCCATTCAATACTCAAAAGGACTTAACATATGAAGTCAACTATGCCTTTTTATACTGTGCTTATGAATCATAATTTAATGTTACAGAGTTTTTTTGTGTTTTATTTTATTAAGGACTGATATGCAGAAGTGTAAACAATGCTCTGATGAGCATACCATATAATGATGTTTTTAGTCTAATTAATATTTATCTACAGTTTTGTTATATGATTGTTCCTGTAGTTTATACAAATGTGTGTTCTTATTTTGGTTTATCTCAATATTTTCCAAATGATTCATTCCAAAGTTCATCTAAGTGGTCATTTGCTTTAATGGGTTCATATTTGGAGTCATCAATGCTGTTAATAACTGCATCCCAATCAGGGTTTCCAAAGTAGATCATACTGAATCTAGACTTTTCTCCTCCTTTAATGCTCTCTGATTCACATGGCAGCTTCACCACCCTGTGTGGCTGGAATAAACATAAAAATTACAAATGCTTATTCAAACAATTCCCAGTTTTACAAAATATGTAGGATGATGGAGAAAGGTATGTTTTTCTCCCTGTCGTAATAATGTCAATTTATGATGACCCTGATCTTTTGGCTTATTTTGGGATATACAATATCTTTGCAATAACTCATGTAGCCATAACTTAAACTTGTATTTTTGCTATTTAAGGACGTGGTGGACTAAATCAAATCTAGCGTGACGTCATCGTGTTATTGTTATGATACGAGAACTACTTTATGGCAATGTCGTAAAACTATGGTGCCCGTTGTCAATAAATGTGCTCAATAAAAACATCTGTATGGGTAATACGTTGTGTTTTGTGTATATTAAATGTCATGGACTCCTCTTTGCAATATTACATGGCTCAAACATCTCAATCTCCTCTTGATGAAGTCGTAAAATCGATATTCCCCATTACGGAAGTGAAAGTAAAAAACAAAATTCAGCCAAAATTTATCCCAGTCTAATGTGAAAATTCGCGAACGGGAGGGCGTTGAATGGGCGCCTAATGGACAAGAGGACCAAGAATAAAGTCAGAAGTGCCCGCTAGAAGCTGTACAGAAGGTATGTAACAAATGCAATCGCTCCTAGTTAGCTTGAAATGCCACCGGTAAACTTTACTTCCTGGTTAGATCTACAAAAAGCACATAAATTTCTTTTTTCTTTCTCTTAGTTTCAAGCTACACCCGATTTATTTGAACTCTTTTATCTAACTTATTTATTTACTTATGTTATGATATTTTACAAGCCATTTTATAAGTTTATTGAGTCAAAATTAGTCGATTTCTTGCCATGACCTAGATTTGTCAAAACTCTTCAAACTAGAGGAACAAAAAGTTAACTAAAAAATAAATCAAAATCTGATCGGTTTTTGGCTCTCATTCAAAAGCTTCTACATTCTCAAGATGAAATTACACTTCATATATCTCAAACAAGGTAAGTTCTTTCATAATCGCTGCACAATGCGTCGATACAGTGTCTTTTTCCATAGCTTTAGGCCTAGTTCAGAAAGTTGAATATTTTATTTTTGACTGTTTTTTCTTCCTCAGCTAAACATGCTGAATTCCCTGTCTAATTGGCCACGTGCAAGTGCTTTCATTTATTTTCGAAATATATAATTGTAATGGTAAATCTACATGTACAGTGATATGTTATTGATTTTGTAGTAAATCATGACCCTCCTTCAAGATGAAGATGCACATGTACACATACCACTAACGGATGTACAGTAGCAGTACAGCTGGGTCAGATCAATGTATCCAAAATAATCGGATGAGGAGAATGCACCTGACCTCAACTATTTTGATTGCAATGAAACTCTCTCTCCATGACAATGTTTATCAGTCCCCAGTTCTCTCCTATTGAAGAATACAAGTACATCATTGGCATTAGTCACTTGTCATGGCAGATCACATCACATTTGTGAAATGCAAATGCAAGTAAGTTATTAAAAGTTGTTTTGTCTGTGATACGATGCATTACGAAAATAAAATGTAACAATAATACAATATACTTCTACAATCTTGAGCAACTATAATTTATAGAATTGCCAATTAAATATGCGCTATAACCAAATATTTCATTCTATGGAGGGCAATACCTGTTTACATCTTTTAATGATTTTTGCAAAAAGTATTGCCCGCAGCCTGTAGGAATTTCTAACAATGATATGATAAAATGTAATATCCTTGGAATTTAGAAATGCAGGGAACATAAAGCTTGAACAAACATGAAGCTTGAACAAACATGGAGCTTGAAAAACCCTCTAGCATGGGCTTTCAACTTGACAAGTAATCATCCACAGTAAAATTTTCTATACACATCAATAAAGCTATTATTATGGGATTCTGAATTTACATGTACATTATAAACATGATATGGAGTTTTTGATTTCCAGATTTCATCTTCATAATGCTTTAGGAGATTGAAGAGGTTAGAATAGTAACATTGTCGGAGACATTCAAGTCTTAGTCTAATAGAAACCTCCAAACGTGGACTCCAATATCACCGAACACAGCAATTGTCAACATTAGTGTAGATTATGATTGTCGATATTTCAACAAATAGTGATTGTCAATATCTCTGAACAAAATGGTTATTTGTATTTGTATTTGTAAAATGGTTATCAATATAACTGTCCAGAATGATTGTCAATGTAAGTGTAAGTAATGATTGTCAATAGTGTTACTGTACATAGTGATTGTCAATATCACTGAGCACAATGGTTGTCAATACAACTGTACATAATGATTGCCAATGTAAATGTAAGTAATGATTATCAATATTACTGAACATAGAGATTGTCACTGAACACAATGGTTGTCACTATAACTGTCCAGAATGATTGTCAATGTAAGTGTAAGTAATGATTGTCAATATTGTTACTGTAAATAGTGATTTTTAACAGGTCAATATCACTGAGTACAATGGTAAATGGTTGTCAATATAACTGTACAGAATGATTGCCAATGTAAATGTAAGTAATGATTGTCAATATTACTTAACATAGTGATTGTCACTGAACACAATCCTTGTCAATATAACTATACAGAATGATTGCCAATATAACTGTTAATAAAGATTGTCAATATTACTGTATATAGTGATTGTCAATATAACTGTACAGAATAATTGTCAATATAACTGTAAGTAATGATTGTCAATATAAATGTACAAAAGTGGTTGTCTATATCACTGAACATAATGATTGTCAATATAACTGCACAGAATGATTGTCAATACAACTGAATGTAATGATTGTCAATATAACTCTACATAGAGGTTATCTACATGTATATCACTGAACATTATGGTTGTCAAGATAACTGAATGTTATGATTGTCAACATAATGCACATAGTGATTGTCTATATTACTGTACATAGTGATTCTCAATATAACTGTTCAGAATAATTGTCAATATTACTGTACATAGAGGTTGTCTATATCACTTAACATAATGATTGCCAATATAACTGTACAGAATAATTGTCAATATAACTGTAAGTAAAGTTGGTCAATTTAACTGAAAATAGTGATTGTCTATATTGCTGAACATAATGATTGTCAATATAACTATACACAATGGTTGGCAATATAACTGCATAGTGGTTGTCTATATCACTGAACATAATGATTGTCAATATAACTGTAAGTAATGATTGTCAATATAACTGTACATAGTGATTGTCAATATAACTACATATTTTTTGTTGATATCACTGCATATGATGACTGTCAATATCACTGTTTATCGATATATCTGTATTTAATGATTGCCTATGTTTATATGGGTATTTTACAGAATAAGTTTTGCAATAAAAGTATATTCCAAAAAGTGTAATCAATTATATTATGTCTAGACTGTATTGAAACAATATTCATTAACAAACTAGTTGCAATGGTAACAATGAACTGGTTATCATTTCAGTGCACGTAAAATAAATAGGGGCTCCTTGATTAGGCGAGGGGATTCTTTCATTTCTCCTAGAAGTATTACATTATTTGCAATGGAAGTAGTAAAAAGATCTTATATAAAAGATGCAACATCTTATTTTCAAGAGACAATAAACAAACTGTTTCCATGGCAACCATTGAAAGTAATTTTATCTTGGATAAAATGTCCCTGGGCAAGTTAATAGAGCTGTTTTGTGATGATACATGATTACAGATACGGTCTAAAGCTCCATTCACAAATATTAACCAGCAATTAGAGCTCTTGACAAAAGTTCTTCACATATTTAACATGTTACCATGGAAACAAAAGAAGTTTGACAGTTCTGCATCTAATGACTTTGCCTCTGCCATAATCAACTTGCTCTTTCACTGGTATTAAAGGTAAAACCTCGACATTTTATCCATGACATAACATAATTTATGTACTATACTAAAAATGAATACACATAAAAATGGGCCATAAGAGATTCGAGTTCCCGTTGCCATAGCAACCATATTTCAGATGTACATGTAGGCTATAGTGATTTCTGCAATGCAAGTATCATGTGAATATAAACTGTGACAATCTAAGAAGACATCAATCGGAATATTTTTTATTAAATGTCGGTGAGATGAGGTTCACAAGTAATATGATGCTTCAGTCTCTGTGTTGGCAAAACACCTAAAATGTATTAAAAGTGAGAAAAATACCTTAAAATAGGTTCCATGAGAATGATTCTAGCATAAAAACAAAGACAGTGACCCCATTTTTTTATTCTTTTATCTGAATCTACTTGATATTCTCTAAAACTTGTTAAAATTTAGGAAAATTTAAAAATTTTGAAAGTTAAGAATTATTAATGTAAAAACAGTGCTGTTAACAGTAAAATCCCCATTGAAATAACATGGGAAGCACATTTTTGCCCATAAAAATGTGCGAAATAAGGTGTTTTGGAGGTACTTTTGCAAGGCCTGTAACGAAAAAACTAAGTCGGAAGCATATTGTTTTTTTGGTCTTATTTTGTAGGAAATTGAAAGATCTTTCATTTAAAATACATTTTACAAAAATTAAAAATTTGCTTTATTTAGTCCACCACGTCCTTAACAATGTCTCACATTAGCTTGGAATTTGTCTGAAGTCCATCTCTGCATGAGTTCCGCAATCAGAACTATAATACAACCATCTTTAGGTGTGACATCAATCCAGTCTCCAGAGCGTGATTTCACCTAAACATGTAATCAGAACTATGATACAACCATCTTTAGGTGTGACATCAATCCAGTCTCCAGAGCGTGATTTCACCTAAACATGTAATCAGAACTATTATACAACCATCTTTAGGTGTGACATCAATCCAGTCTCCAGAGCGTGATTTCACCTAAACATGTAATCAGAACTATAATACCACCATCTTTAGGTGTGACATCAATCCAGTCTCCAGAGCGTGATTTCACCTAAACATGTAATCATAACTATAATACAACCATCTTTTGGTGTGACATCAATCCAATCTCCAGAGCGTGATTTCACCTAAACATGTAATCAGAACTATGATGCAACCATCTTTAGGTGTGACATCAATCCAGTCTCCAGAGCGTGATTTCACCTAAACATGTAATCAGAACTATGATACAACCATCTTTAGGTGTGACATCAATTTAGTCTCCAGAGCGTGATTTCACCTAAACATGTAATCAGAACTATAATACCACCATCTTTATGTGTGACATCAATCCAGTCTCCAGAGCGTGATTTCACCTAAACATGTAATCAGAACTATAATACAACCATCTTTAGGTGTGACATCAATCCAGTCTCCAGAGCGTGATTTCACCTAAACATGTAATCAGAACTATAATACAACCATCTTTAGGTGTGACATCAATCCAGTCTCCAGAGCGTGATTTCACCTAAACATGTAATCAGAACTATCATACCACCATCTTTAGGTGTGACATCAATCCAGTCTCCAGAGCGTGATTTTACCTAAACATGTAATCAGAACTATGATACAACCATCTTTAGGTGTGTAATCAATCCAGTCTCCAGAGCGTGATTTCACCTAAACATAAAATCAGAACTATAATACAACCATCTTTAGGTGTGACATCAATCCAGTCTCCAGAGCGTGATTTCACCTAAACATGTAATCAGAACTATGATACAACCATCTTTAGGTGTGACATCAATCCAGTCTCCAGAGCGTGATTTCACCTAAACATAAAATCAGAACTACGATGCAACCATCTTTGTGGCTTGATAGAGTAAAATGTCAAGTAGTTATGTTTTCAAATACTTTGCACTTACTTGCAAGCCACCCATATTATCTTGTGCAATGAAGGTGACAGTGCCCCAGTCTGTATGTTCCCCTAGGCGCATTTGATTCTCAGTCTTTGTAAAATCTTCTGGCATCTTTGGATAGTTTAATATTCTCACCTGTGTCCTCGTCTTCTTTGTTAAAGTGTTATGGAGCTTGGTGAAGAGAGTTCTCTCCTTTACAGAAAAATAACAATTGTTGGATGAAGTTTTTGTTATAATTCTGTCCATTTTCACCTAGAAGTATTTTTAAACTCAAACTCCTTGAACACAAAACAAAGTTGTTTTTGTCTTTTCTTTATTTATTATTTCAACTCCAATCTTATATTTCCAACTTTTTTTAATTATAGAACCTTATCTTTGTCTAACCTTCCATCTCAGAGCCCAACAATGTGTTCCTCAGAATAAGATATTATTTTGGCAAGGTTAAATCTGTTTGTTTTGAAATTAAAGATTCTAACTACTTTCTATAACAAACCCCACCAAGATTTGTTCCCAGTCATGGATATTTCTATGCTGTGTTACTCTGTACATATACATATAATTGCATTATCATGACTTTCCACCAAGACACTTGATGTTTACATATAACAGAGGCAAAAAGTCAAAACCATCTCCTTCAGAAAATACTAGTAACATACAAACAACTTTTATGGCAAGATAACCTTAGTGGATTTGATAAAAATGTCTTTTTAATCTGTTGTAAAGCTTTTATTTATAAATAAACATTTTTTTAATATAAAATATTGAGAATATACCAATGAAATGGTGTAGGGCAAATTTTTAAGGTATACAAAATTACTTTTAAGAAAAAACCATTCACCCCTTGCGAAAGTACTATCATCGACATATGGATGTCAATTATTTGACCCTGCCCTTAAAAGTCCCCGTGTAAAGTTTGAAAATATGTTTTTATCATTCATTTACTTAATTTACTAATTATCATGACTTTTAAAAGTTATTTTAGAGATTTTTGAAGAAAAAAAATTGAAAAAGTATTTCTCAAATATTCAAATTTCCCACCATTTTTCAAAAAAGTTGAAATATTTTAATCATCAAATATTCAACCATACATTTCAAAAAAGATTATTTTTTAACACCAGTGCAACGATTGAACAAAGGACACACTATTTCAGTAATAAAATGCCATATCTAATGTGCAACTTCAATGTTTAAGCATATCAAAAATATTTTGGAACCTAAGTGATGTCATTATGACTTATTCAGGTGGCAAAAACTTTTTGAAAAAATTGAAAATTATTTTTATTTGTTAATCTTTTCTAAATATGCTTAACTTCAAAATTAAACCGATGTCGATTGTGACACTGGGTTAAAAGGAAGAATATATTATGCTTTAAGTTTAATGAATTCAAAAAGTCCTTCAAAAACCACTTTTTGAAATTAAAAAACAAGTTTCACATATCACACCTTGATAACATTGGGTAAGACTACAATATAAGTTGTGTATCAGTCATCTATAGAGCTGCTTTTATTTTGAGGATATCCTAAATATTTTTCTTACCCCCTGTAGATGTATGTTATAGTCTCCAACTCATTTTTTATTGATGGTGTTCAGTGTTTGGCATCTGTAACAAATGGTAGGCTGTGACATTTTGCATGTCATTGCCTTGTTATCTACCTGTTGTAATGATAATGCCATCACCCCCAGTACTCGCTTAAGCAAATTGGAAAATTCTTTGAATATTTCTGTAAATCCTTCATCAAAACCAGTCACATTCTTGGGCCATTTCTGAATAAAATAGCGCATTTGTGCAATTGAATTATTTATTCTTTTTGTAAATTCATCAATATTTCTGTTCTTTTCAATTGGAATATTATAGTTCATTGTTTTTTCATATGTTGTAATGAATGAGTGTGATTAATTGCTTGCAATTGGCATTATATTCTCAGCTTTGACCTGTACAATGGTGTTGAAAACTGTCTAAATTTCAGTTATAATGTATGATGAATTGAGAAGAGTTGATGGCCAAACATATGTGTCAAATTTGGAATCTCTTTTACATACTTACTGGAGGGAGCCAATATTCAAAATCATAAGTTTCTTTTACATCAAAGGATTCACCTAACCTGAAACGAGTAATGAGAAATTTTTAATTGCTAGCAGTTACAGCAGCTTTCAGAAATTTAGGTTGAAGAATCACATTATGAAGAAAAGATTCATAGACCACTTTGTATGAAAATCTCTTGTCATCAGTTAATATGTCGATGGGGCCAATAATGTTTCCCAATCAAAGGTCCTCCACATCAATCTGAATTGTGTTTGTGTTATATTATTGATAAATACAAAAACATGCAAGAAAAAATCTTGGAACTTTAACAAAACACAAATACACACTTTTGTCCTCCAATCCCTGTATATCCATGTTTGAGATCTGCAGTAAAGCAAAACTTTCTTTTTCTTCCTTTGGTAAGTTAAAGAACTCCTTCGCAATACTCTCCATTCTTTTGATCTGAAACAAAATTCTTTTAGATTGAAAAAAGCACATCGTGGCAGTTGAATTAATGCAATGACAAATACATGCATATGACATCAGCTAACATATAACATTTCTCACCAAATTAGCTGGTATGCCATGATTCTTGATATACCTAAAGCCCACCCCAGTCAGTGCCTTATACACATCCTCTGCAAGCTCTTGTTATATTAATTAGGCAGTGAATGGTTTGATATAACTGCACATGTACATGTAGTTAACATCTCTCACCAAATCAGCTGGTATGCCATGATTCTTGATATACATAAAGCCCACCCCAGTCAGTGCCTTATACACATCCTCTGCAAGCTCTTGTTATATTAATTAGGCAGTGAATGGTTTGATATAACTGCAGATGTACATGTAGTTAACATTTCTCACCAAATCAGCTGGTATGCCATGATTCTTGATATACATAAAGCCCACCCCAGTCAGTGCCTTATACACATCCTCTGCAAGTTCTTGTTATATTAATTAGCCAGTGAATGGTTTGATATAACTGCACATGTACATGTAGTTAACATTTCTCACCAAATCAGCTGATATGCCATGATTCTTGATATACATAAAGCCCACCCCAGAGAATGCCTTATACACATCCTCTGCAAGCTCTTGTAGTTGTTCATCAGTTGGGCTGTGCTCAGCATCAATATGGAGGCCATAATCATTAAAGTCAACCACAGGTATCACTGCCATGATGTTTAAAAAGGACAGCTTTTATAAGGTCTTTTCTTCCTTGCCGCAGACAAATTACATCATGTTATATGATAAATGTTGTAGTAACCTTTCTATACTTGTTGTTTTATACTTATCAATGCCCAAGTACATACATGATGTTATTAACTCATGTTATTTGAAAGGTAAGTTGAACAAGTTAACCCCTTTAGTATGTACATGTATATTACATTAACATACTAAATCGGCGACTTAGTACAGCAATCATGCATATCTGCCTCTCAATACTTCCAGGACAAAGAACTCAACCAACCCCTGGGACCATAAACCATTCAAATTTCCGGCCCCCCGCCTATGTGGGGAGTCTCTGAAATAAATTGATAACAATTTGGAGCAGCAATCACGTACCATTATTTTGTTTATGTTTAAATAATGTCTCATTTATTTGTTTTCTATTTCCAGATGATGTTCTAGAGAGGATGATGGATGATCGATCAGCCTCCGAATCGCGTCTTTTGGTGGGTCACTCTGGGCCAGTTTATTCAACCAGCTTCTCTCCTGACAAACATTATCTTATATCAGGCTCAGAGGATGGAACAAGTAAGTCTTTTGGTGGGTCACTCTTGGCCAGTTTATTCAACCAGCTTCTCTCCTGACAAACATTATCTTATATCAGGCTCAGAGGATGGAACAAGTAAGTCTTTTGGTGGGTCACTCTGGGCCAGTTTATTCAACCAGCTTCTCTCCTGACAAACATTATCTTATATCAGGCTCAGAGGATGGAACAAGTAAGTCTTTTGGTGGGTCACTCTGGGCCAGTTTATTCAACCAGCTTCTCTCCTGACAAACATTATCTTATATCAGGCTCAGAGGATGGAACAAGTAAGTCTTTTGGTGGGTCACTCTGGGCCAGTTTATTCAACCAGCTTCTCTCCTGACAAACATTATCTTATATCAGGCTCAGAGGATGGAACAAGTAAGTCTTTTGGTGGGTCACTCTGGGCCAGTTTATTCAACCAGCTTCTCTCCTGACAAACATTATCTTATATCAGGCTCAGAGGATGGAACAAGTAAGTGTTTGGTGGGTCACTCTGGGCTTGTTTATTATCCAATTGAACGAAGTTTGGAGGGATATAGAGAACGCCTCGTTCGTCCCTACGTACGTATTAGAGGTGTGCACTGTTGATAAATCACTTAATCGATCAAAAAAATATTTTAATCGATTAATCATCGATTAATCATTCTTATATAAATGATGGAGATAATTTCCCTACAATTTTCTAATTCTTTAAATTAGTAGTAGGCGATAATTCATTCGTTTGATTTGATTGCATACCTCTATTGAATATATATATATATATAAATAAGATGTATCAGGGCTTGAGCAAGCTATTGGTAGCACTTTCATATTGGCACCCAGAAAAAATGCAAGGCTTAAGATACAGATGGGAAATCAGTCTTTTTAATTAGGTATACCCACTATATGTCTGAGGAAGATATCATTTTTTTGAAAGATGAATGATAATTTTTTTTATAAATTTTCATGTATCAAAATATGCCTTATTCTCTATGTAACAAATTCCCAAGAAAAAATCTACCTTTACATACATACTTCAAACATATACTTGAATAGAGTAAGTTAAAGTAATTTGGCTGCATTGGAAAGATTAAGGAATTTGCTTTAAAATGATATGCAACAAGTGTGTCCATAATAGTTTTTATAACATTTGTAACATTTCGTTGTAAATTTTATGTTAAAAAAGACTGAATTTTTCAACATATTTTCCAATCTTTGCTTACAGTTTTTTTAAGATGATATCAAAAGTACGGAATGTTAAAATTCTGTCACTAAAAAAATTATAGAAAAGGATGTAGTGGTTCCTGAGATATTGGCTCTCAAAATAACTAACTGATTTTCCGACACGCAAATGTCTTTTCCGAAGAGCATGTGTATTTTAAGACTGAAGTAATGATACCCTAAAAACTATTTTAAAACAAAATGCATTTAGTTTCTTGAATATTCAAAACAAATAAATAGCTTTGATCTGTCATATATACCTGTAAAATCAATTTCAAAATTCCGACACAAGAAAAAAGTCCTTTCCGAAGAGCTCTTCGGAAAAGACTAACTCTGTCAAAACAGTGCATTTACCAACAATATTGAAGAGAAACACACCGGAATATATTTTCTGATGAACTTTTATACATAAAATATCTTTACTGAAGTAACTAAGACTTAAACAGGAACTACAAAAGTAAATGTGTCCTTTCCGAAGAGCAATTCAGTCTCTGATTAGGAATGCTGTATTGGATGTCTATAACTAACTTTTCTACTGATGTATAAAGGCATTAGCACAATGTTTACAAATATTACATTGAATCTTGATTTGAACAGTACTGTAAAACCCTTTAAAACACTCAAGTGTAAAATTGCAAATGAAGAATGCCGCAAATATAAAATTGTATCTTCATCACTATTTTTCCTGTGATAATAGGTTCAATTCACTGACAATTACCACCAACAATTGAGTCGTTTCTGTGCATAATGCTGTTTCATAGGCCTACATGTCCCCAGCCCAGCAACTAAAAAACTACAAGTACATTCATGATAACCTTAAAGTGATGACTTTAATGATGTTTTGCCATATTATCGCCCATATATTTACCTATGAAAAATCACAGTTAATGATGTAATCAGTGGTAAATCTCGAAAACATGAATACCTGAATAGAAACAAATGTACAATCTCCAAAAATTGCTCCCTCAAATTCAATCTGTTAAACAGTATTTAGCAATACACTAAAAAATGTACTTTCCGAAGAGCTTTGGACAAGTGTAGTTTCGTCATATGGTACACATATATACTATCATGATTGTCTCATATATAATCAAACATTATTAAGGACTTTGTAATGATTTATAATTGCAATTATGTGTGTGTCCTTTCCGAAGAGCCAAAGTTGGGGCTTGTAATATCATCCTGATTTTTTTCAATATCGATGCAAAAAGTTATCTCTGGGTCAATAAAAAATGAAAGGTAAGACATTAAGTAAAATTATGATTCAGGAAAATGTTTTCTTCTAGCAAGTTTGAAAATCCACTTCTATGGGACTAAAAGTGCTACCAATAGCTTGCTCAAGCCCATCAGTAAAACACAAAAACAACAAAGGTAAGCGTCAGGTTTACGGGAATTAGTGTGTTTGGCAGTTTGAGTTTTAAGCTTGGCATGTCAACCTGACATATTAGGTCTCAATCAGTCAGTGAAATCAAATAAGTTTAATCACGGCAGGATATTGAAGATTATCTTTTTTAGAATCAGTTAATTGAGTATTAAGAATCTTAATCGATTAAACTTGTGTCGATCAATTAATCGATGATCGATTAAAAATTCACACCCCTAGTACGTATGTCCGTCCATCCGGGAAATCACTCAGATACCGTTGGCCCATTTTTGTTGTTCATATTTTGTACACATATACCCAATGGGGATAGAAGTTCTGCTTGAAAGCCAATTTTAAAATGGCTGCTCATTTAAAAATAGGGGCCATTTTAGTGCCGATTTTACTGTAATTTAGGTGCAACATGTAAAATTGTAATAGCAATATGTTTCAGTTGTAAAAATTTTTTATAGGACATTAATAATGTGATATATACAGTGATATTTACAGCTGTACATGTATTTATGAGCTTTTCTTCCATCATGCATACATTCATTTGCTAAATCATTGCAAGAGACTGTTAAAAAATTCTGACCCTTTTGGACAACCTATGAAACTATTGTATTATTGGCAAGGTTAATGATGTCATACTCTGCTTGTGGCAATAAAACAATAACCTCATTTCAAAGGGCAACATAGTGTCAGCCAATAGGCCAAGATTTCACTATGTTGCCTGCTGAAATGAGGTTATTACTATTATTTCTGTCGGTTATGGCCATGGCTAAATTGGCAAGAACTGAATGAAACTTACACACCCTGATATTGTAGGCATTATGATCTAAACGTGTAATGTTTTATTGGATTGCAGTTTCAATTTGACACAGCATTAAAAAACTCTTAAATCATAATTGAGACTGCAATTATTTTATTCTCGTACATGCATTGTTGAGAATAAATGCATGGCACACAAGCTATTATATGTGATTAGCCCCTAGCACATTATTCTATGATGATAACCTTTATCTTCCATCTTTGGAGTTTTGGAACATGGCACACAAGCTATTATATGTGATTAGCCCCTAGCACATTATTCTATGATGATAACCTTTATCTTCCATCTTTGGAGTTTTGGAACATGGCACACAAGCTATTATATGTGATTAGCCCCTAGCACATTATTCTATGATGATAACCTTTATCTTCCATCTTTGGAGTTTTGGAACATGGCACACAAGCTATTATATGTGATTAGCCCCTAGCACATTATTCTATGATGATAACCTTTATCTTCCATCTTTGGAGTTTTGGAACATGGCACACAAGCTATTATATGTGATTAGCCCCTAGCACATTATTCTATATGATGATAACCTTTATCTTCCATCTTTGGAGTTTTGGAACATGGCACACAAGCTATTATATGTGATTAGCCCCTAGCACATTATTCTATGATTATAACCTTTATCTTCCATCTTTGGAGTTTTGGAACATGGCACACAAGCTTTTATATGTGATTAGCCCCTAGCACATTATTCTATGATGATAACCTTTATCTTCCATCTTTGGAGTTTTGGAACATGGCACACAAGCTATTATATGTGATTAGCCCCTAGCACATTATTCTATGATTATAACCTTTATCTTCCATCTTTGGAGTTTTGGAACATGGCACACAAGCTATTATATGTGATTAGCCCCTAGCACATTATTCTATGATGATAACCTTTATCTTCCATCTTTGGAGTTTTGGAACATGGCACACAAGCTATTATATGTGATTAGCCCCTAGCACATTATTCTATGATGATAACCTTTATCTTCCATCTTTGGAGTTTTGGAACATGGCACACAAGCTATTATATGTGATTAGCCCCTAGCACATTATTCTATGATGATAACCTTTATCTTCCATCTTTGGAGTTTTGGAACATGGCACACAAGCTATTATATGTGATTAGCCCCTAGCACATTATTCTATGATTATAACCTTTATCTTCCATCTTTGGAGTTTTGGAACATGGCACACAAGCTATTATATGTGATTAGCCCCTAGCACATTATTCTATGATGATAACCTTTATCTTCCATCTTTGGAGTTTTGGAACATGGCACACAAGCTATTATATGTGATTAGCCCCTAGCACATTATTCTATGATGATAACCTTTATCTTCCATCTTTGGAGTTTTGGAACATGGCACACAAGCTATTATATGTGATTAGCCCCTAGCACATTATTCTATATGATGATAACCTTTATCTTCCATCTTTGGAGTTTTGGAACATGGCACACAAGCTATTATATGTGATTAGCCCCTAGCACATTATTCTATATGATGATAACCTTTATCTTCCATCTTTGGAGTTTTGGAACATGGCACACAAGCTATTATATGTGATTAGCCCCTAGCACATTATTCTATGATGATAACCTTTATCTTCCATCTTTGGAGTTTTGGAACATGGCACACAAGCTATTATATGTGATTAGCCCCTAGCACATTATTCTATATGATGATAACCTTTATCTTCCATCTTTGGAGTTTTGGAACATGGCACACAAGCTATTATATGTGATTAGTCCCTAGCACATTATTCTATATGATGATAACCTTTATCTTCCATCTTTGGAGTTTTGGAACATGGCACACAAGCTATTATATGTGATTAGCCCCTAGCACATTATTCTATATGATGATAACCTTTATCTTCCATCTTTGGAGTTTTGGAACATGGCACACAAGCTATTATATGTGATTAGCCCCTAGCACATTATTCTATGATGATAACCTTTATCTTCCATCTTTGGAGTTTTGGAACATGGCACACAAGCTATTATATGTGATTAGCCCCTAGCACATTATTCTATGATGATAACCTTTATCTTCCATCTTTGGAGTTTTGGAACATGGCACACAAGCTATTATATGTGATTAGCCCCTAGCACATTATTCTATGATGATAACCTTTATCTTCCATCTTTGGAGTTTTGGAGCATGGCACACAAGCTATTATATGTGATTAGCCCCTAGCACATTATTCTATGATGATAACCTTTATCTTCCATCTTTGGAGTTTTGGAACATGGCACACAAGCTATTATATGTGATTAGCCCCTAGCACATTATTCTATGATGATAACCTTTATCTTCCATCTTTGGAGTTTTGGAGCATGGCACACAAGCTATTATATGTGATTAGTCCCTAGCACATTATTCTATGATGATAACCTTTATCTTCCATCTTTGGAGTTTTGGAACATGGCACACAAGCTATTATTTGTGATTAGTCCCTAGCACATTATTCTATGATGATAACCTTTATCTTCCATCTTTGGAGTTTTGGAACATGGCACACAAGCTATTATATGTGATTAGCCCCTAGCACATTATTCTATGATGATAACCTTTATCTTCCATCTTTGGAGTTTTGGAACATGGCACACAAGCTATTATATGTGATTAGCCCCTAGCACATTATTCTATGATGATAACCTTTATCTTCCATCTTTGGAGTTTTGGAACATGGCACACAAGCTATTATATGTGATTAGCCCCTAGCACATTATTCTATGATGATAACCTTTATCTTCCAGTTCGTCTTTGGAGTTTTGGAGCATGGCACACAAGCTATTATATGTGATTAGTCCCTAGTACATTATTCTATATGATGATAACCTTTATCTTCCATCTTTGGAGTTTTGGAACATGGCACACAAGCTATTATATGTGATTAGCCCCTAGCACATTATTCTATGATGATAACCTTTATCTTCCATCTTTGGAGTTTTGGAACATGGCACACAAGCTATTATATGTGATTAGCCCCTAGCACATTATTCTATGATGATAACCTTTATCTTCCATCTTTGGAGTTTTGGAACATGGCACACAAGCTATTATATGTGATTAGCCCCTAGCACATTATTCTATGATGATAACCTTTATCTTCCAGTTCGTCTTTGGAGTTTAAAAACATGGACTAATCTAGTGGTATACAAAGGTCACAACTATCCAGTATGGAGTGTACAGTTTAGTCCCCATGGCCATTATTTCGTGTCTGGAGGGCATGATAGAACAGCTAGAATCTGGTCTACAGACCATTATCAGCCATTAAGGATATTTGCTGGTCATCTATCAGATGTTGATGTAAGTTCATTATACATGCATGTATATTAAAAATCTGTATTGCGATATGAAAATGAAAACTTTTTTGTTGCATTTTAATTGCTTGCATATTTCATTTGAAAATGTGACAACATTAAAGGATGATTCTAATTTGTTTTAGACATATTATTGGTCTTCTACATCATGATATTTATAATGACAAATCTAGAAATTAGGTAAAACTGTATTTGATGTTGTGACAGAATAGCCTCAGAACTTTTTTGAATTTTCAATTCCTGTGGAATAATGTATATTAACGAGTCAAAAGGTCATCAAGACCCAAGAATCCAATCTATTGTCCTCACATAAAAACAATGTTTAAGATTTGACAAGTAGGAAAATGTTGAAACTAGTATTCTTTAGACACAAACTTCATGGTAATAGCATAAAAGCATGTATCCATTATTGATAGATGCGATTTTGCTACATTTGATTATACTTTTAAAATCGTGACATTTCATTGCTTTTTCAGTGTGTACAGTTCCATCCCAACAGTAACTATGTAGCGACAGGCTGTAGTGACAGACTTGTGCGACTTTACGACATGTTGAATGGCAAATGTGTCCGCCAGATGTCAGGTCATAAAGGTGCAATTCAGTGTCTCAGATTCTCACCAGATGGCAGATATCTTGCATCAGCAGGTAAACTGTGTAAACAGTAGCCAAAAACATTTTTGAAGTATATTGTAAGTACCAAAAGAATCATCATTATCATCATAACTGTATATGCCAAATGATGCTTCAAATTGTCTTCTTTATATTTAAAATATCAGTCTTAAATGAGTTAATCTTGCAAGTAAGTAGATAGTTAACAATTGTAAATATTGCTGTAGAATGTCAATCTCACACTCCTCTCCATAAGTTTGGCAACTGGAAGTCTCACTTTTGTTCACTTATTAAAGCCTTTTGTTTGCCAATTAAAAAAATTCAGTGACTTTTTACAAGAATTTCTAAACTTGTAATTAGGAACAAAACTAAGATTTTGATTGGCTTTAATATTCTCTCCAATGAAAACTTCCAGTTTCCAAACTTATGAAGAGGAGTGTATCTGAAAATTAAATAACCAATCCTACTATCCAGGGGCAGATAAGACTGTTCTGTTGTGGGACTTGGCCAATGGGAACCAGATTGGACAACTGAGGGGCCACACAAACACTGTATATTCACTGTGTTTCAGTAGAGAGGGGGCTGTATTAGCATCAGGTAAATCCATCATTCAGGGTCAGGTCCACACAAACACTGTATATTCACTGTGTTTCAGTAGAGAGGGGGCTGTATTAGCATCAGGTAAATCCATCATTCAGGGTCAGGGCCACACAAACACTGTATATTCACTGTGTTTCAGTAGAGAGGGGGCTGTATTAGCATCAGGTAAATCCATCATTCAGGGTCAGGTCCACACAAACACTGTATATTCACTGTGTTTCAGTAGGGAGGGGGCTGTATTAGCATCAGGTAAATCCATCATTCAGGGTCAGGGCCACACAAACACTGTATATTCACTGTGTTTCAGTAGGGAGGGGGCTGTATTAGCATCAGGTAAATCCATCATTCAGGGTCAGGGCCACACAAACACTGTATATTCACTGTGTTTCAGTAGAGAGGGGACTGTATTAGCATCAGGTAAATCCATCATTCAGGGTCAGGGCCACACAAACACTGTATATTCACTGTGTTTCAGTAGAGAGGGGGCTGTATTAGCATCAGGTAAATCCATCATTCAGGGTCAGGGCCACACAAACACTGTATATTCACTGTGTTTCAGTAGAGAGGGGGCTGTATTAGCATCAGATAAATCCATCATTCAGGGTCAGGGCCACACAAACACTGTATATTCACTGTGTTTCAGTAGGGAGGGGGCTGTATTAGCATCAGGTAAATCCATCATTCAGGGTCAGGGCCACACAAACACTGTATATTCACTGTGTTTCAGTAGAGAGGGGGCTGTATTAGCATCAGGTAAATCCATCATTCAGGGTCAGGGCCACACAAACACTGTATATTCACTGTGTTTCAGTAGAGAGGGGGCTGTATTAGCATCAGGTAAATCCATCATTCAGGGTCAGGGCCACACAAACACTGTATATTCACTGTGTTTCAGTAGAGAGGGGGCTGTATTAGCATCAGGTAAATCCATCATTCAGGGTCAGGGCCACACAAACACTGTATATTCACTCTGTTTCAGTAGGGAGGGGGCTGTATTAGCATCAGGTAAATCCATCATTCAGGGTCAGGGCCACACAAACACTGTATATTCACTGTGTTTCAGTAGGGAGGGGGCTGTATTAGCATCAGGTAAATCCATCATTCAGGGTCAGGGCCACACAAACACTGTATATTCACTGTGTTTCAGTAGAGAGGGGGCTGTATTAGCATCAGGTAAATCCATCATTCAGGGTCAGGGCCACACAAACACTGTATATTCACTGTGTTTCAGTAGAGAGGGGGCTGTATTAGCATCAGGTAAATCCATCATTCAGGGTCAGGGCCACACAAACACTGTATATTCACTGTGTTTCAGTAGAGAGGGGGCTGTATTAGCATCAGGTAAATCCATCATTCAGGGTCAGGGCCACACAAACACTGTATATTCACTGTGTTTCAGTAGAGAGGGGGCTGTATTAGCATCAGGTAAATCCATCATTCAGGGCCATAGCTAGCATTTGCCAGGGGGTCAGTTTCTCATAGAATCAAGGGGGATCTTTGAGAAATTTTGTCCCAAAATTACTCAAAGTGTGATCAATATGATGAAAAACTGCACGATTTTTGGGGTTTGCCCAAACCCCCTCCCCTTCCCCCTGGCTACTAACCTGATCATTGATTTCTAATAAATTACAGATTTACAAATTATAGATTGATGTCAAATTAAGAACTGAAATGATTTACTCTGCTGAGAGTTAATTTTAAGATTTATAATTCAGTAAAAGTATTTGTAGTACCGTTAAAATACACTATTCTGACTCAGCCTTTTGAGAAAATATTAAAAATGCAAGAATTGAATAAGCATGGAATGAAGCACATGTACATGTTCATATGAAAAGAGTGGAATGAACATTGTTGTTTCTCTGTATTTATAGGTGGCATTGATGACCAAGTGTTATTATGGGATGTCGCTAAGGTGTTTGAAGAGCAAGACTCGGACACTGCCCCTGGGACTGCTACTGTAGCAAACATGTACGTCAAACTAATTCATTTGTTTATTGATGAAACTAGCCAGTCTTCTTTTAGGAGGGGTATTAGACATTGAGTCTATCCCTTAGAACATAGTTATACATGGTTATACTCTGACTTAAGTCCCTGAGTGCTATGGAAAAACGATAAGACTTCATTTTTGTGAGCATACATCCATTGTAACAAGGAAAGCATGACTTTTAATTTGAAAATAAAACAACACTGAACTAGTAATCTGATCAAGACTATACTTACATATTTACATGTTTCTTATAACTTCAGCACTGGTGAGGACACCAAGCTGTTGATTGGTTCCCAGAAGACAAAGAACTCGCCTGTGTTAGATCTTCATTTCACAAGACGTAACCTTCTCTTAGCAAGTGGACCATTTATGGGCAAACGGTCCTGAATAACAGCTTATGGAAGATAGCTATTTGATCCAACATGGATGATTGGACAGATGATTCTGATACAGATAATCTGATGACCATATATGGGCAAATGCTATTGAATAGTAGCAGTTGGATCAATATGAATGGTTGGATTACCAATCATTCTTCAATAGTGATTGTTGTCAGCCCAGCCATGGATGATTATCTGATGAAATCTTGGCTGGATATATGTGAACCACATAAATTTGAGTAACATACTCATTCAGTCATATGTGGCGTACCATTGGCAGATATTCTTCAAGAATAGTTAAATGGAGTAGCTTTGTATGAATGTGCCAGTTTTCACAAGACTTAGTATTTAATTATCCCATCGAACGAAGTTCGGAGGGATATAGGGAATGCCTCCGTCCGTCCGTCCGTACGTACGTCCGTCCGTCCGGGCAATAACTCAAATACGGTTGGCCCGATTTTGTTCATATTTTGTACACATATACCTTATGGGGGTAGAAGTTCTGCTCACAAGCCGATTTTCAAAATGGCCGCTCATTTCAAAATGGTGGCCATTTTAGTGCCGATTTTACAGTAATTTAGGTGCAATATGTAAAACTGTAATAGCAATATATTTTAAATGTAAAATAATTATAAAGGACATTAATAAAGCTACAAATGTAGATATTAAAAAAGCACATGGCAGCCATCTTGAAAAATGGCGGCCTTTACTCGTTATTTTACGATTTTTGCTGTAACTCGAAAAGTAGTGGAGCGATTTTGTTCATATTTGGTATGTGAATACTATAAACATTGCACACTGTCTAAAGACACTTTTGGTAGAAGGTGGCCATTTTGGAAAATTGCCGCCATTTTAACGTATTTTACTATACATGTAACTCGAAAAGTAGTGGAGCGATTTTGTTCATATTTGGTATGTGAATACTATAAGCATGGCACACTGTCCTATGACACTTTTGGTAGAAGGCGGCCATTTTGAAAAAAAATTTGAAAAATGGCCGCCATTTTAACGTATTTTACTATAACTCGAAAAATAGTAATGCGATTTTGTTCATATTTGGTATGTGAATACTATAAGCATGGCACACTGTCGAATGACCCTTTTGGTAGAAGGTGGCCATTTTGAAAAATGGCCAGCATTTTAACGTATTTTACTATAACTCGAAAAGTAGTGGAGTGATTTTGTTTATATTTGGTATGTGAATACTAAAAGCATGGCACACTGTCTAATGACACTTTTGGTAGAAGGTGGCCATTTTGAAAAATGGCCCCATTTTAACGTATTTTACTATAAGTTGAAAAGTAGTTCAGCGATTTTTTCATATTTGGTATGTTTCATATTTTACATGTGAATACTATAAGCATGGCACACTGTCTAATGACACTTTGGGTGGTAGGTGGCCATTTTGAAAAATGGCCACCATTTTTATGTTTTTTACTATAACTTGAAAAGTAGTGAAGCGATTTTGTTCATATTTGATATGTGAATACTCATGAGCCTTGCACACTGTCTCATGACACTTCGGATAGTGGGCGGCCATTTTAAAAAACGGCTGTCATTCTTACATTTTTTACTATAACTCGAAAAGTAGTGGAGCGATTTTGTTCATATTTGATATGTGAATACTCTAAGCATGGCACATTGTCTAATAAAACTTTGGGGAGTAGTCGGCCATTTTGAAAAATGGCCACCATTTTTATGTGTGTTATTTTACAAGTACATGTGTGCGATTTTTCAAAAATTTTATAGGTGGCTACTTAAAAGCATATTATTTCTTCTGATGACAATTTGGCTAGTGAGCAACCATTTTGAAAATGGTGGCCTTTCTGGTGTGTTGTTTTATGATATTTGCTATATACTTCGTTTGTAAAAATGCCAGCCATTTCTGTTCGATGGGATTTGCTACGCTTTGGCGTTGCCGTTGTTCTGGTTAAAAAATGATCTGGACTAAATCCTAGGTGTAACAAGTACAGCAGCTGATGTGATACTACTGAAAATATACAAGTTATGACAGGGTTTTTCAACCTTTCACATACTCCAGTACTTCAGTTCCTTTGAATAGTCCATGATCATGATGAAATGATATTATTATGCATAATTGTTAGTAATATCTTCTGAATATCCATAATTTTTTAATTTGGGTGTTATTTCTATATTTTTCATTAAAAAAATATAAGTGCAGTAGACGGTAGGCTGATGAACTTCATTCTCCAAACCGAGACTTGGTTTTTTATTGTATCAGTCTACTGCACCGCCTCCTTCGAACAATTTTGATATTTTTACATATTTTAGATTTAAATGTCCTCTTTTGAATATACATAATTTAATTTGGGTGATATTTCTATTCTATATTTTTCATTTTTGCCACCTTTTGACATTTTACTTATACAACTTTAGATGCTCAACTTAGTAAAATTAGATGGCAGAGATCATTTCTACACATTTTTGTGTAAATTGTTCAAATAAGAGCAATTTTAGGGAAGATTTTTGCGACACATTTTCTCGTCCCTCTGGGTTTCAAGGTCATTTCTGAGGTGACAAATCTCGTCACTTCAGGGAGTCAAGAGGTTAAATTGATCTTAGTTACCATAAAGTTACCTGACTAGCAAATTGCAAACACACACACCGCTTTTGAAGTACCTCATATATTCTTCGACTCTTCGATACAAGTTTATGTTAAAAGTTCTGAAAGATGGACTTTGTTAACTACGATTTTTGTGGACCTCATATCAACAACTATGGAATGGAATGAAGGAATGGAATGAAGGAATGAACTGGACTAAACTGGGTGTAAACTCAATGTGACATTTTTATTTGTTATGATGTACAAGTGACAAAAAATAATAAATGTTTAAATATTTTTATACAATATTATAGTTTATTCATTTCTATGTGTTTATTACATTATTTTCTCCAATGTTTTTTTTTCATGCAATGATATACCCTTTATAAATTAACAAAGTTGCACTGCATTTTCTCCATCACTGAAAACATCAAAGCGGTAAATATGACATTTATGTAGTCCCATCCTGTATTGATCAACTAAAATATGAATTCCAAAAACACAAGACAGTTTAGAAAATAAAGGTTTAGAACACACAAATCTCACCAGATTTACGTTTTATATTTAAAAATGTTTTGCATTGAAATTTTGAAAAAAAATTAAGCCAATGTGATATAACATTTCAAAGCCAATGTAGCATACATCACCCTCACAGATTTTTGACATTGCACCTAAACAGTAAAACATGATAAATACGTGTTATCAAAAATTGGATAGTGGCAAAGGTTTGCATTTATTTCCTTTAAAACCCAGTGACAATGCCAAAGTAGAAATAGTACCAAATAGAGTATGCTACAATTACTTTAAAGTGAGCTGTATTTAACATTTTATGATTATTAGATAATAATAAATAAGGACATCATAAAACATTTTCCATTAGCCTTTAAGCAAAGAAACAAATATTTGAATGGTTTGGCCTAGCAAGCTTATGACACAAATAAACATTCACACCCATTCCTTTACTCAAAGTAAAGTTAGGATTTATTCAATTATTAATGTTATCATTGAGTACATCACTGTTGAACCATGGGATTTAACAACCTCTCTTGCAATGTAATCTCACTCCCATACTGCACTGCACATTTCTGTGTTTGACACGATACAAATATTCACAGATAACTCAGAACATGGCTACAATACAAATACTTTCTCCACTCATTCATTGAAAGAAATGAAATTAACAAATCAGGAATTAACACATTTCATGTAAAATAAAGTGAACCCCAAACATGAGAAGACAGATTGCGGTTCCTTAAAGAAAGATTAAAATATTTTAGACATTTGATGGATATCGATACACTATGTAAGAAATATATCTGTATTTAGCTTAAAGTGCTATGCTTGGAGTTAAAACAATGAGTAGTGAATATTATTTAATCATATACACCCTCTCAGTCAATTTTGCAAAGTACATCAGGGGAGCTTCATCAATTCCAGATATCTCAATACAATAGCCTGTATCAGTAATGCATTCTGGGATAGATGATCCCCCATTGCGGCACTTGGAAAAGAAAATTGAGGAGTTGTATATGCAAAGACAAATGTTATATTGACTTTGCAGGACTCACTGACCTAATCCACTTGCACGTTTTCTTAAAAATATGAAAATTGGAAAAACAGGTTTTGATGTTTATTACAGCTAGCAATTTATACATTGAAAGGTTTCATAAAAATCCAGTCGAAAGCTATTCACATATTTTCTATAAATACGGATAAAGCATAGGATGTTCTATGTGTGACATAAATTACAATTATAATACAAGCCCCCCTCCCCACCCTCTTGTCTGTCCCATTTCCCCCTAGTTTGATCATACTATACATCATTTGCATTATTCTTGTGGTTTAGTTTTTCTATGTACAATTGGCTCTATCTGGAGAATATATTACAATTTGATAGTAGCCCCCACAAGAATGCAGAATTTACAGTTTACACAGGCAGAGCTGGCACATTGAAAGTTCAAACCAAATGTTGAATCATTATTAGGCAACTATTTACTCAGCATAATACTCTTCAGACAATTCTACACCTAAATATGTCATCCATATTTCACCTGTTCACTAAACATGTCATATATTTGGTAACTGTTTACTAAACCTGTCACCAATGAACATGTCACACATTCTGTGACTGTTTACTAAACTGTCATCCATAATTCACCTGTTCACTAAACATGTCACCAATGAGCTAATTCACTGAACATAACACACATTCTGTGAACATAACACACATTCTGTGAACATAACACACATTCACTGAACATATCACACATTCTGTGAACATGTCACAAATTAGGCAACTGTTGACAAAACATGTCACACATATGTGAAATGTTTACTAGCGTGTAACCTATTAAGCCAATTAAGAAGCATGATTTAAATCTAGATAAATCATTCACAGATTGACAAGCGTGAATGAACCCCACACTCAAGTTAGCCACTGAAAAATATTTTACTAGCTTCCATATTTTAGGCCTTGGTGAGACATTGTATTGTTATAAAACAAATGAAGTTTCTTCCACATTGGTTGATTAAAGCCAGTAGGGAAGCTTGAGAAATATTCACAGTTATGCTGTTTCTGTTGAATACACATGGCTAAGATGGCTGTATTTCAAAATTCTACAATGCTAAGCAGTGATCTGCCCAGTATTAAATCAAGTGGGCGCAGCACCCACTTGAGATTTTGAAAATAGGCTTGCACCCACCTGAAAATCCATTTGCACCCACTTGAAAATGACAAGATCATGAAAAATTGGCATATTTTGACCAATTTTGGTCTAAACAGTGAAAATGAGAATTTTGCACCCACTTGAGAAAACATCCTGTTGAGATCACTGCTAAGTAAGGGGAGGCATCAAAAGTTCGATGTCGGATAGAAAACTAAATAAATCTAGTTAGGGGGGACGGGGGTTCAACCCCATTTCAGTTTGCTATCCGACAAATTTCAACATTTCAAATTTTGGGCAATTTCAACTCAGAATGCCTTGGAATGGTTTAAAAATAAAGATTTTACCTGATGCTTTCTTCGTCAAGATCATTCCAATGGATTATATTCTATCAATAGTTGTTAAAAGCCGCAAATTACAATAGGAATTAACAATAACAAAAACTAGATCGTGTTTAGCAATAATTTTTCAAATTCTCAAACCGGAAGTAAGCGATCAACTTTCGCGATATTTAGTTTTGGGGGGGAGGGGGGGGGGGGGGGGGGTCTGAGTCAAAACTAGATTTATTTAGTTTCCGATCCGACATCGAACTTTTGATGCCTCCCCTAAGATGGCTGTATTTCAAAATTCTACAATGCTATAAGAGGGCAAAATTACCTAGAATTCATAGATGAACCTACCATTATGTAGATATGAACCTCCAGGTTCAATTTTAAATGAGGACAAGTTTGTCTTTGAACTCTGGGTAATTCCCTCCTCCTAGTGCAATTCTGTAAAATAACATATTTGGCCAAGCACACCATTGGTTCACCTGCTTTTACAGCTAAGCACTAAAGTGTCGATATAACAGATGAAAGCTGATGCCTAAACTCAGTCACACTTGAAATGTTATTAAAAGATAATCTTTTAAATTCTGATGAGTCTAAGGATGATCCTTGATCTGTTTGTGCATGAATGACTTCACATAATCATTCTATTTTGCCTTCCTTAATGTTAATATGATTTAACTTTTTGCTTCCCTACATTGTATGATGCCATCTTAATGCCCAATTCTACAACTGATGTTTTGAATACTGTTTGCACTAATGTGACTTCAAGCAGCTATAGATGGCGCCAGTATATAAGGCTCAGCTTTGTCGCATTGATCTCTGCCGTTCTGTATCACCATAATGAACTGCATGATGTAATAATTATAATATTATAATCCATGATAATTATTGATTTAGTCTTCAATATTCCACTTGATCCCGCGTTCACATCGTGCCAGCCAACTCAATATCTCTATACAAATTTTCGATTTTAAAATTCCATTTCATCAGACCGCAGTTTGAATTACTAACTGTCCTTATATGGTCTTATGATTTACAACAGCCGCCTGAGCTTGATTGGTTCTGTTCATTTAAATCTACTCCTCTTTGTCGTGGTTGTGAGGCTTGTCCTTGTTCACTTTTAGGTAGTTTCTTTGCTGAAATTAAGATAAATATCTGATGATTTCTTAGCAAATATGCGTCACTCAAAAGCCTTGTGGGTTAATGTCTCCACCCGGGGAGCTGGTAAAAATTCCAATTCATTAGAATATGCATTTCAAAAGTGTCTACTCCCAGGATGATGGTCTTGGTCAAAAATCCCTCACCCTGGGACAATATTGACCTCACCCGAGTTGAAAAGTTACAAAACTTATAAACTTCATATTTTCTAGGGTCATTTGGTATGAATGTACAACAAATATCTAATTTACAACTTATTTTAAGTTCTATATATTTTCATATATTACATGTCACAAAGTACAGACATATTTAAGCTTAGACCTATAAGCTGATAGTGAACCTATACTTTGGCACTATTTTTACACATAATATTTTATAACTTGAAGTGTTATCAGATTATGACTTGGACTATGATATTCACATTTCAGCATTTAAGTTTCTGAACCCCTTCGAGGATGTATTGGATATGGATAATACCTGGATAATCAGACCCAAAAATCTGACTTATGAGGCACACTTCAAAAGTACATGCATAAGAGTAGCAGGCAAATTTTCATATTATTTTTACCAAAATTGATCGATGTTCATTTTTTAAAATATTTTTTGCAATTCAGCAATTGTTTCCATGTTTAAACTATTACTAGTATTTCCAACGATTTTGTTTTATCTGTTGTCCAAGGGAATCTAATGAAACCTCCACATAAGATTCATGTTGGTAAATTTTCTTACTTACCTATTGCCAAAAATATATCATTTACATTCATAGCTGTTTTAGCTGAAGTTTCCATAAATAGTAAACTGTTTTCTTCTGCGTATGCTTGGGCTTCCTGAAAAATAAAGAGATGTGTGAATATTAAAATTGGTTACCACTTAGTAAAAATAACAAAATTGTAACAGGGTGTTACAGATACAAAATATTGATACACGCCACTACTTTATGTTGGTGACAAAAGTAGCGAGCATATCAAATGGAATTTCTTTAAAATGTCACTGCAAAGTTATTTTTAAACTTGATCTGTCATTTCTGATTTCATAATTTGATATATGGGGCCAAAGTAATGTTGACATTAGAAAGTACTTGAGAAAACATAGTAACATTGTAGTTGGACGTATGACAAATGATTAAAGAACTTTCCTGCTTATGAACATACAACATCTTCACTCCGATTTAAGGTCACCCCTTTTGAGATGTTGCCGATATGATTGAGCTGATTTTAAAAATGACTCGAGTTAAGAGATTTGTTACATGAAAAATATATCATCTATCAGTATTTCATACCCAGGGAATTAGCAGCAGGCAACAGGCAATTTTCACTGGTTGTTTTCACTAAATCGCATGTTCTTTTTGAGGACCTTTCAACTTTTCCATGTTAAAATGATTTCCATTAATTTTGCCTGTTGTTTTCATTTATTTAGCTTGTTGTGAGAATTTCTAGTGAAATCCTTGCATACCTCTCACTTATTTTCTTTCAGAGATGCAATACACGTCATTTTACTTTTAATATCCCAAGAACCATTCAAAATTGACCTCAATATCATTTAATACTCAGTTGTTCTTATTAAAAAATCTATTTTCAACTGGGTACCATTGACTTAATGTCCCTCAGAATACCTGAGGAATTAACAGAAATCAACTTTAACAAGATTGTTGTTACTTACGTCGTACTCCACCATGCGTTTGTTTGCCAGATCTGCCTTATTCCCTGCTAACGCTATGACTATATTAGGGCTGGCCTGTCTCTGTAGTTCTTTCACCCAAGTCTTTGCCCTCCCAAATGTGTCCTGAAAAATGGAAACAATCTTTGAGCATTGTTCTTACATAAAAGCAAATTGTCTACCTTAACATACCCATATTAAGCATATGGATTCAATTTCAGTGTATGGATTCAACTCCAACATATGGATTCAACTCAAGCCTTATTGTATCATCTTATCAAACTAACTCCTTTCCCAACAACATAATCTAAGTCAGATATTCATTCTACTGACCTCCTAAATACAATTTGGTCCATCTTCCAACCCTTATATTATTAATTATTATGACATCAGTGGTGATCTGTGGTTATTCACATTGAATGGCATTTAGGTGAGAGAGGATTTACAATATCCAAGTTTATTGCATTTAATTACAGGGTGGTCCAAAAAGTGAACCCAGTTGCAACAAGCTATATCTCAGCTAATATTCTCACATACATTTTTGTCAGCATTTTTCTTTATTTTAAGGGAAAATAATTGTTGTACACCCACAATATGATCCCAATGGAATCCAATTGGATACATGTGGCAATCAACATAGATTCCACATAGAATCCACACTATTTCCACATGGATTTGATCCATTTGGATTCTACATGGATCTACATGATTGTCACATGTTTAAATGTGGATATTTTTCATGGATTCCATGCAAATAAACATGGAAAACTTTCCCAATTCCAAGTGGATCCACATGCCTAAAATCCATGAAGATTTCACATGGATTCCACGTGGATTTCGCAAGGATTCCATGTGGATCCTTGCAGCATTGGTTTCATGTGGATTGGCTGTTTATCTAAAGTTTTTTGAGCAGTGAACAACTTCAACATACGCATTGAAACAGTTGTCCAGAACTGTGGAGCACGGATTGAGCACATCACTTATTAATCAGTTATGTCTGCTGATGCCATGTAACTTCTACAGTGTCCCTATGGTAGCCATAAAAACAGAACATTAGACCTACATCTAAAACATGTGAGAATATTAGCCCATTAATGCAAGTAACAACGGAGATATAGCTTATTACAAGGTTTCACTTTTTTGTGGACCACCCTGTAAAAGGACATGGTGCACTTACTTGGTTTGTGATGTCATATACAACAATGGCCGCCTGTGCACCTCTATAATACATAGGTGCGAGACTGTGGTAGCGTTCTTGGCCCGCTGTGTCCCAGATTTCAAACTTTACTGTGGTATCATCCAAACAAACTGTCTGTGTTAGAAATGCAGCTGAAAATACACAAAATTATTCTTTAAATAAGAGGTAGGGGAAATTTGGCCAACTTTACTCGTCGCTCAAGCTGATGACAAGACCTGTTACTTCTACAATTTCGGTTATTATAATACCAATAAAAATAACCTTTCAGTCAAAGGACAAGGTGCAATTATTGGCAAATATCCCTATGGTCAAAATGAATCATTCGTAGGTGTAACATGAAGAATAAAATGTCATATAATACTTTGGAAAATATTAAAGTGCTCGGACACACATAAGCTGAGATAGGGATCATTTCGTTCAGTAAGGTTGTATTGACTTACATGGGCCTGTGCACCATTGACTTAACATGAGGATATCAGCAGATCCCAATAGAGGCCATTGGTTTCCATTGATTATCACAGAAATACCAAAAATACAGTATGACCTGAATCGATTGCAAACTTAACCAGAACAACGGCAACGCCAAAGCGTAGCGAATCCCATCGAACAGAAATGGCTGGGATTTTTACAAACGAATAGCAAATATCATAAAACAACACACCAGAAAGGCCACCATTTTCAAAATGGTTGCTCACTAGCCAAGTTGTCATCAGAAGAAATAATATGCTTTTAAGAAGCCACCTCTAAAATTTTTGAAAATCGCACACGTACTTGTAAAATTACACACATAAAAATGGTGGCCATTTTTCAAAATGGCCGACTACTCCCCAAAGTTTTATTAGACAATGTGCCATGCTTAAAGTATTCACATATCAAATATGAACAAAATCGCTCCACTACTTTTCGAGTTATAGTAAAATACGTTAAAATGGCGGCCATAATTTCAAAATAGCCACCGTCTACCAAAAGTGTCATTAGAAATAGACAGTGTGCCATGCTTATAGTATTCACATACCAAATATGAACAAAATCACTCCACTACTTTTCGAGTTATAGTAAAATACGTTAAAATGGCGGCCATTTTTCAAAATGGCCACCTTCTACCAAAAGTGTCATAGGACAGTCTGCCATGCTTATAGTATTCACATACCAAATATGAACAAAATCGCTCCGCTACTTTTCGAGTTATAGTAAAATACGTTAAAATGGCGGCCATTTTTCAAAATGGCCGCCTTCTACCAAAAGTGTTTTTAGACAGTGTGCAATGTTTATAGTATTCACATACCAAATATGAACAAAATCGCTCCACTATTTTTTGAGTTATAGCAAAAATCGTAAAATGACGAGTAAAGGCCACCATTTTTCAAGATGGCTGCCATGTGCTTCTTTAATATCTACATTTGTAGCATTATTAATGTCCTTTATATTTTTTTACATTTGAAACATATTGCTAATACAGTTTTACATATTACACCTAAATTACTGTAAAATCGGCACTAAAATGGCCGCCATTTTGAAATGAGCGGCCATTTTGAAAATCGGCTTTCGAGCAGAACTTCTACCCCCATAGGGTATATGTGAACAAAATATGAACAAAATCGGGCCAACGGTATTTGAGTTATTGCCCGGACGGACGGACAGACGGACGGACGGACGGACGGACGTACGTACGGACGGACGTACGTACGGACGGACGGACGGACGGACGGAGGCGTTCCCTATATCCCTCCGAACTTCGTTCGATGGGATAATAATTTCACAATACAACACAAATGGTTTATCTCATCAAATGTGCAAATATGAAGTTTGCAATCGATTCAGGTCATACTTAAAATTAAAAGTTTGTACATTTTTTCATCATTTTTTTCCCTACAAAATGGCTATAGAAAAATGCTCCAAAAACAACTTTTACACTTATCAAATATCATACAAGTTTGTAAAACCAAAGATTATACTATTATATTTCATTATGTAGTAACATATTTGGATAAGATGCAGGGATGCGTAGGATGTAAATGGATTTTGACAGACAAAAATACTTCCTGGTTTGGAATCTATGCCTCTACACTTCATGATTGAATTATGACCCTAATAAGTGGCCTATACATCAATACAGTGCTGAATATAGGTCAACAAGATACTAGTGTGAATATAAATGTAATAATTGAAGCAGAATACTCATTTTGAAAAATCAGATGAATATTTTTTTCCCATTAGGAGATCCCAATGGAGGGTGTATAAGGTCCTTTGCTAAGAATGGTAACTCAAACCCTAGCCCACTGAAACCGTCGAAAACGTATCCATTACCATCACTTATACTTGATTTTAATGAATGCTGAATGAATGATATAAGAATTCAAACAAATGATAAAGCTTTCCAGTGGTTGAGTTGTCTGAGTATACGAAGTATAAATTTACAAGGTCTTACTGCAAACAGTTTTGGATGGCAAAAACTCAATAGGATTTACTCCTTTTATATAACTATAATTCAAAACTTAGGTTAAGCAATCAAAGGTGCCAAACTTTAATCCAAAACCTAGTTAACTAGTAAGTGATTCACTTCTTTCAAGTTTATTATAGAATTTGTAAACAAAAAACCTTCAAGTGTCATTTTCAATGTCCAAAGTTCAGTTTCACTTAGCACGATTCATCTCGATGTTGAACTTTCTTTGCCAAATATGATCCATAATCTCTGAAACTTTTATCAATGTTTACAAACTTTGGAAAAAACTGATTCTATTTTTGTTTACAACATGCACATGCTTGTAATATAACCTTATTTGTTATTCTAGAATATCCTATAATGTGACAATGAATCATAAACTCTGAAAATTGTTTATCCCAATCAAAATGACACAACTAAACTGTGATTTGGAATTATTAACACATAGGAAACATGAGTAACATATATCACATGACCAACCAAACTTATATAACACATGAATTAATGTAGACAATGTATCTTTAGTCAGAATCCATACCAGAGCACATGTACTTAGTAGACTGCCTTTTAGAACAAATCTGCGCACTAAGCTATTCTTTTCTTCTTTTCACAACCTTTATTTTACAACCTTTATTTAACTTTAAGTGATTCACTTCTTATTGAGTTTATAAATCTATGTACTGTTTAAAAAAGAGTTCCTCTTAATTACCATTTCCTTCTACTTTAAGATGATGGTTAAGTTAAACCTGTCTTATCCCAAATGCCACTGGGACTGGCCAAAGCAGGTGTTCATATTTTCAATTTGGGATGAAGAAAACAGAGTTCCGAATTAACGCTCGCCACTCTCAATTTGCGAATAATTGGTGAAGGCTTGCGAACATTTTTACAAAATAAGTCGCAAGTTTGGCGAATAAATCCTACCGTGAGCACAGATCCATTAGTGGTAAACTTACCAATAGCTGCCGAAAGTTTCCCAGTAATCCATTCCTTCTATCTATCTCAAAAATGCTTTTATGTCGGGATAAAATATTTTTAAGTTTTTCAATATTTACTTTCGTCCTGTGCTGATGACACGACTAGTAAAAGATTCACGGAATGGGGAATTTTACATAGGTACGGTTCAATTGTATAAAAATATTGGGCGTGTCATCGATTCACTTCGGTCCTAGTGGAAATGGAAAAAATGTGAAAAAATATAAGGATAATGCAGTCAGTGGCAAAAAAACGCAAGTTTAGAGAAGAGTGGTGTTACGGGAGACCATGGTTGAAGTGTCAGGACAACAACAACATGTTTTGCGCGCTATACAAGGAGCAGGCAACGCACGGTGGTGGTGACAAACGTAATACATGATTTTGATGTAAAAAATTGGTTGTTCAGAAATATCTTTTTAGAAATTTTGAAGAAATACAAGATAAAAACCTTGAAATCAAAGCTTCAAAATGAGCCACAGAAATGCTCAGAATGCACCAATTTCGATGAAGATATCAAAATTTTCCGGGGGTAGAAAATAGCCACTTTGGCTAAAATTAATTTTTCTTAATCCAGAACTCTGGAAGAAAAGTGTTCATATTAAGAGGTGTTCAGATAAGTGAGGTGTTCAGATAAACAGGTTTTACTGTAGCAGATAATGACAATGAGGAACTTGACCAAATTTAAAAATGTAAAGACAAAATAAAAACCCAAACCAGTGATCAATAACAGGAATTTAGTCAACTTAACCTAATACTCTCACAATAGACAAGAAATGATGGCTGTAATGCTGTAATAATCACCCTGCTTGTAATCCAATTCCTATTGTAATTAATCACATCACAATGTTTTAATATTCAAGCCTACGTAACTTCTACATGCAATATGAATGTTATTCAATTGTTGCAATTATTTTGACTGACATAATAACAGTTACAATAGTTTTATATTACCGTATTCTCTGTAATTACCGCCCACTCTCTAATAAGCACCCACCCCGCTTCACAAAGTTCAAGAAACATCGAGGAATCATAATAATCCATAATGAATGAAGGAATTGTTCTTTATCGGCATTCAGAAATTTCAAAAGCTACTGCGCAGATGTTCTGCGCATGTCAAGGTCGTGAACTTTCTGGTTTCTTTTTAATGTTTCTCGACTTTAACACGACTTTTGCACGAATAATGATGATCTCTCATCAAATTAGAAATAATGTATAACTTTAGATCGATATCCAGCAGTCTCTAGTGGAAATATTGAAGGTAATCGGCGATAATGACAAAGTGGGTGTGCCGGAAATAAATTAGACATAGACAGGTCTTCAACCACTGTCAATATTGTCTAAGCGATCTTTACCGTATTCTCTCCAATAACAGCACTTGTCATATTATTATAAAAATATGTTGAAGAAAATGCATTCTTGTCAAGAAAAATTGCCATACATGAAATTCCTCGGGATTTCTGATTTCTTTCATACATGGGCGCTTATTAGAATGGTCTAAATAATGTATTTTTAATTTTCTAAACGCCCTGGGCGCTAATTACAGAGAATACGGTAATTCTATTAATTCAATTAATTATGTCATTTTAACCATATTCAATCATATCTATGAATTCCCAAAATTTATAAATCCATTGACCAAAAAGTTTTCATCCTTTTGACAATAATCAAAGCTACTGTTTATTCCATTTTGGATTAATGCATTTAGATTATCCTTCCTTTTGCAATTATTTTGTCTCCGGTTTCGCATCTCTGCACACAGGTTTTGTGAATTTGGAAATTCACAACCTAACTAGACATAAATATTTCATAATTTGAGCATTCCAATGCAGAAACATGATAACAAATCAAGTGGGATTTATAGCTGCAAACTAATCAATATTTGCATCAATATATGATTCTTAATGATCAAAATGGATCCTAAATAAAAAAAAAACAAGATCTGGAAATCAATCTCCAAATCCATTATCTTTTCTACGAAACATGTCTTATTAACATAATGCTATGCAAATTGAATAATTTTGACATTTCTCAAAAAAATTGTCTCATTATAAATTCATTCTCGAAACTGTGCCGATGATAAGTCTTGCATCATGTCAGTAGAACGCATAGATCTCCTTCAATATCTTCCTCAGCTCTGACTTAGAGAAGACATATATAAAAGGGATATAGAACAAGGGCAAGATGCAATACTGTACCAGCTATGACTAAAATCATTATTAGACATGCAAAATAAAAAATTTGAACCAACAGCAATGTAAATTTGTTAAGTCAGCGCTAGTTAATGCAATGATGCTGGAAACATAAATGATGCGGTTATACATCAATCTTGAATGTGGTGAACAGTGAATAGATCAAGCTACTTAATACTACGCAATCTAGAGATCCACAAATGAGGCCTGTGTTATGTATGCCTATGGTGATGAACGTCTCAGATAATTACAGGGAATCTATCACAGATAGACAATCTGTTCAACCCTCAGTCTGTATGTTCATCAAATAATAATCAGGGACCTCACAATGCTTAAGTTGTAATATTAAACAAGAACACAAATGTGTACAATATGTCCCCACCAATGGGTGATCCCGTCTAATGGTTATCCTGAAAATGAGTAGACAAGACTTTACTGTTACAATTTTGGAATTGAAAATGCAAAATGGCCACCTTAAAATTTACCAAGAATGCCCCAAAAATTAGTCAGCTGTAGATTTTTATACTAAGAACCATCCCTGAAAATTTGAAATTGATCCGTCAAACAGTAAACCAGAAAACAAGACTTTACAGACAAGATTTTAGGACGGAAAAATCCAAAATGGCTGCCTTGACATTTGCTCAGAATGCCTAAAAACTAATCAGTTCTAGATTTTCATACTAAGAATCATCCCTAAAAATTTGAAATTGATCTACCAAACAGTTCACCTGAACACACGTAGACAAGACTTTACAGGCAAGATTTTAGGACGGAAAATCCAAAATGGCTGCCTTGACATTAACCCAGAATGCCAAAAAACTAATCAGATCTAGATTTTCATACTAAGAATCATCCCTAAAAATTTGAAATTGATCAACCAAACGGTTCACCTGAAAACGCGTAGACAAGACTTTACAGACAAGATTTTAGGACGGAAAATCCAAAATGGCTGCCTTGACATTTACCCAGAATGCCAAAAAACTAATCAGATCTAGATTTTCATACTAAGAATCATCCCTGACAATTTGAAATTGATCTACCAAATGGTTCACCTGAAAACGCATAGACAAGACTTTACTGACAAGATTTTAGGACGGAAAATCCAAAATGGCTGCCTTGACATTTACCCAGAATGCCAAAAAACTAATCAGATCTAGATTTTCATACTTAGAATCATCCCTGAAAATTTGAAAATGATCTACCAAACGGTTCGCCTGAAAACGCGTAGACAAGACTTCACAGACAAGATTTTAGGACGGAAAATCCCAAATGGCTGCCTTGACATTTACCCAGAATGCCAAAAACTAATCAGATCTAGATTTTCATACTAATAATCATCCCTGAAAATTTGAAAATGATCTACCAAACGGTTCGCCTGAAAACGCATAGACAAGACTTTACAGACAAAATTTTAGGATGGAAAAATCCAAAATGGCCGACAATAAAAAAGTGATTATACTTTTTTGCTGATTTCTTTTTACAAAATGAGCACATATAACTACTGTTAACAATAACATAGGCTTTTACAATAAAGTACACCTGAAATTTTTTATAAACCTACTAAATAGTCTAAGTATGAAAACTCAAAAACACCATTCAATATGATACAAAGTATTATCGCACGCTAACTTTTCTTAAAACATTCAAAATGGCTGCCATGACTGGGCTAACAGGTCCAAAACCTAATCAGATCTAGAATCAAGTGAGCTGAACAGGATGTTAACGTTTTAAAAGCAACAGTGAGGCCATTTTTCTTAAAGTTTGCAGACAAGGATTTTAGCATTTGACTTCAAAATGGCCGACAGGAAGTAGGTATCGACTTGAAACTTTTTCGTCCACATCTGTATGCACTCATAAGTTATCCCTGAAAATTTGAAGGTGATATCGGTAGCGGTTTTGGAGAAAACTGCCGGACGTACGGACGGACGGACAGACAGACGGACAGACGGACGGACGCGCCTAGGCCGACAATATGGCCCCACACTATGTGGTGGGGACATAATGAAAAGGATAATGATTTAGGGGCGGGGTCAAAATATCGATGTTCATATGGAGACGAAAGTACTTTCGCGAGGGGGAGGGGGTTTTTGGGCACTTTCGTTGACCAAAAAACATCGATAATTCGGATCTGACATACAAAAAATAATTGGACTTACCCACTTTTTCTGGCACTATGTTCTGATAAAAAGGCTTGTTTTCAATAGTTCGTGAGCTTTTTTGTGTGATAGGTCCAAAATATCGGTAGATAATAGTGGTCGGACTCGCCTGAAAATCTCCACTCGAGTGGGCCATGAAAAACCACGATTATAATCGCGATTTGACTTAGTTGAGTTACTTCCGGTTTCAGTTTCCGAAGTAGCGGCAGAATTCATCAATTTGATCAAGTCTTTCAAGTGCCTCTATACTTTTTATTGTCTAAATCGTATTGCACATCCCTATAGATCGTTAAAGTTCACCCCTAGTCCCATATAGATAGTAAAACTTACCGAATAAATAGTGAAAACAACTTCGTCAATCCAGAAAGTTCCAGGATGCATCGCGGTAGACAAATATTTTAAAATTCCCGGCTGTTGGATATTCCCAGAATGCATCAAACCGGAAATGAAACTTTTGCATAAAAATAACGAACGCAGAATAAAATCCGAGTATGTTTGTCTTCCGCACATGGCATTAAATAGAAAATAAGTTGTTTTCTATACAGATTAAGCAGAACATTACAACTATAAGCATGGAAATTGCAAATAGGAGAGACGAATCGCGAGTCAAGGTAAGGTGAAAACGAGTGAAAAATAATTTTTGGTAAACATTTCAAATCGCGAGTTCAAGTTTTCAACTCGATCAATTGATTTTTAGGACAAATGCGAGTAAAACTCGAGTACACGAGTCAGTCTTCCAACCACTAGTAGATAAAGACGATAATTCGATCATTTTTCAAATAAATTCCGTACTTTTCCCTCCTCTTTTTGAAGAGTTCAATGCAGTTAAATTGCGAATGTGTGTTAATTCACCGTAATAATAACCCGGCAAATAGGATACGATTATATCAATGTTTTTTTGAAGTGACCTAAGCTTTCGTCTAGAGGGGGGGTGGAGGGGTTGTTGTCCAAACGAAATTACTTTCGTCTCCATATGAACATTGATATTTTGACCCCGCCCCTTAACAAGTGATCAGGGATTTCTCTTAAATTGTGTGTCACTTTTCAAAGTAAAGCACTATTGAGTTAAGGATCACCCTGTACGAAAAAATGGTGTAAACTACCACTATGAACCCTATATGAGAATTGGCTCAGTCAGACATTTTGTAGTATTTGTTTGTTCAAAAATTGTTGATGGGCAATTCCATGGCAAAAAAACATGCATGAAGTTTATCTTTTATTTCAAAATACAGGATGCTGGGCTGAATCTTTTTATTACCTCACAGACGGGTGATATTGTAAGCAGAATTAATTAAGTTCTGAGCTAAGCTGTACAATGCTATAAATGATAAAGTGAAGCTAATTCGTGGTTTCCTCCTCAGCAGATACTGCATTGGATTTGGAAAGAACTGACACTAATCATATAGGAAAATAAGGTCAGCTTGACATCATTAAATATTTTCAAGATTGATTCCATAATGCTTTGGGAAGTATATGTCTGTTGTCACCAGTGCAAATTAACAGTCATATCTTTCACCATGAGTACTCTCTGGCCATAAATACAGTGATTTTGATTAACAATATGTTTTCTTTCAATATCAATCAAACAATTCAAAAAACTATGAATAGGGACCCCATGTCAACATTTTTCTCAAAATGTTGAACCAGTATTTACTCAAAAGAGGATCTTCCTTTTTCTGACTTTTTATTGCATGAAAAGATTATTCAACAAGGGGTCTAAAACTTCCTTCAAACATAGAATTGGTATTGAGAATGTTTTGAAAATATCAATTTCCGGTGACCAAAATTAGACATGTTAAGGTTGAAAAAAAACAAGATTCTCTTTTAGAAAATAAGCTAAGCCTAAATGCTAAAGGTGAGGTCCTTATCCATAATTTTCCTTAGAGTTGTTGGATTGATATTTTTATCATCATAGGTACTTCACTTGAAAGAAAACATAGTTTTAATAAAAAAATAAATAAAAAAAACCACTGTACTATGGCCAGAAAGTCTAAAATCACTTGCAGTAGTCTACCACTACTGCATACCCAGTCCACCTATCAGCTTATTTTACCAGCCCCACACCCACTCGGTTACAATCACGCACACTCCCCGAAGCGCCCTCTTGTTAACTCATGTTACTTCACTTCTCCTGTTTAATCGATGCTATCTTATAAAATAATGCAATCAAATGTTTGTACAAACCTCCTATAGTACTTTCTTGATATTCATGGAATTGTCCTTTAACAAATCGTAACACTAAACTTGACTTCCCCACTGCAGATTCTCCAAGGAGGACTAATTTGAACTGGCATATTTTCCCCTGAGCAGCACCATTTGGCCACTGTGCGCCTCCACGTCCTGCCATTCTCTCTAAACCAATTGGTTAAATTACAAGTCTATGATGGAATGTTTGTTTTTGTTTATCTTCAGTTTATTCCTGCAAGTAGAAATACAACAGAATGTATTGAATCCCTTATAAATATATATCAGCATATAGTTCAGCTACCAATGAGCAACAACCTCATTTTTGTGACTTATATTAGGACTTGTATTGTGCATGTGAAAAGGATGGCATATTGGACTTTAGGATATAAAAGCTCTAGTTACTTACAAAATGTTTTATAAGGTCAGATCTTGGATTCATACCAGGTCAAATATATATTGGGTTGATCACCATGATAAAAACTAACAATGTGATTTAAAAAACTGATACACGCAGAATGAAGTATTTCCCCAACATACAACACTCTGCCCCAAGAAAATTTGAAAATGAGATTGGATTTGAAGCATTCTGGGGTATTTTAAATACAGAATTCTGACACATATATAAGCGTATATGACCCTACGCTAGTGATTGGAGAATATTGCTCTTTAATAAGTTATCACTGCGATACCAAGGATGAAGCAGGATGTCTCAACCTGATGAGAACAGCGGGGATTCCTTCTGTCAATTAGTCATATAAATCCGACGGTTATATGCTGTTCTTCGATATTCCTTGTTCCTATTTGGATATTTATTTTTTATCATTTTCTTAGCATATACCGTCGTAGATATTATTGCTGACAAATTGCGGTAAACGCTTTTCTGGCTTGTCTTGGTAACCGTAGTTACCATGCTAACCAAAGTCACACAAATTATCGAGTAATTATTTAGTTCCAACATCAAAGTGTTAAATCTTACCTTAGACATGTAAAACGCTTGATAATTGACGAAATATAATCAATTGAATTATATTTTCATTATCGCCCACCATGTTGCTGAATGTTGTTTCCGGTAGTCTAAATGTAAAACATGTATCAAAACGGAATCATAATTATTTATTACACAGAGATCGATTCCAAAGCCGTTCTCTCATACTTATTACTTTTCTCATTTTGAAACAATAACTTTTCCAAATAACTTCCCTTCTTAACGACACTGCTTCCCTTTCAACTGATTTTTTCGTGTAACAAGTACTTATGATTTCGTTTAACATAGTTTTACATATAGACTCAGATTAACCCGGAAGTGACCTTGGCATGGCAAAATGAAAAAATTTTAAAATCCAAGCGGCATGCTTATATTTCTTCAATTACCAAGCGTTTTACGTGTCTAAGGTAAGATTAAATACTTTATAGTTGAAGCAAAGAAATTTATTTATCATTTGTGTGAATTTGGTTTGGTAGACAGGCCAGGAAAGCATTTCCCGCAATTTAGATGCGCGGAGTGTGTATGACCCTAGTATGCAAGAAAATAAGAAAAAATAAATATCCAAATCAGAAAAAATAACAACAAATAACATCATACGAGGGTCAGATTTATATGACTACTGTCAATGGACTTAGCTTTCTAACCAAATACTCTGATTTTGTGTACATGAATATGTTCCAGTCATTATCATGAATCTCAAAGCACTGATATGCTTCACACTATATATGTCCTCAGGGGCAAACTCTGCTAAAAATCAGCTGTTTTGGCTGAGGAAATATGCAGGAAGTGCATTGTTTTTATTTTTGCAAGAATGACACATGCCAAAAGTAGAGATATTTGAAGATATATAATCAACATTCCTGGCTATATCAGGTGTCTAAATGATCAAAATAAGTTATGGTTCTAAGGTTACGTCCTTATTTTCCCTGCTTCGACCATAAAATTCATAATACATCCATTTTATCCATATGTTTGAAATATTTTATAATCTTTCTTGGCAGCCATTTTTTATAAAAATATTAACTTTTTGGACGCAGTTCAGTTGTTTCTAAACAGTAAATGCATGCAAAAATGATATTTTTACTAAGAGTACTTACTGAACTATGTCTGAACAACAACTGTATATCGGACTATTTGCAAATAACGTAACAATTAGATGAAATATAAAAGTTCGTAATTTTATGTCGTTCCACCCTCTCAAATTTTCTATGTGGGACTACTTTTATGAGCTGACATTGTTGCGCAAAATCACAATGCACATTTTAGGGGAATCCAGTAATTAAAAACAATATTTTATAGAGAAATCGTATAATGTAGCTGTTAACTCCTCAAATTGTGTGCAAATATCGTCTTTTTCATGATTTCTAAAAAAATGTGTACTATTTACTACTATGTGATACGGCTTTTCCGTGAATCCAAAATTGTGACCCCCGAAGAAAAATGACGTCACCCGGAAGTACACTGCTAGTCTCATATATTCTAATAAATATCAGTTTGTCCACAATTATAATTCTTTTACGGATATTTTACATTTTTGTCAAATAAATAATAAACTTTTATTGAATAAAATGAGACACAACAATTTTCGACTCAGAGTGTTGTCCCAAATATACATTTACATTTCCTATTTATTTCTGTACTTGACCTTTGACCCGGTTGCCATGAGCAGTCAAACAAATTCGGCAGTGTGATTACTTTTGGAGATGTACAATAATCGTAAATAGAGAGGCAAGTGGCAAGGAATAAGTTCTCCTGTTAAATTATAATTTAATTTGATATCCAAGTGACACTTTGGAAACTTTTTAAAAAGTTTTATACACCAAAAGTTTAGAAAGCAACAAAATGAGTGCTGAAACTGCCAGGAGCAGTGCTGTGAGGTTGCCAGAAATAAATGTTGGGACAATTTATGATGGAAAATACAAAGACAGGAGACCAGAATTGAAAGCTGTAAGTACTCCTCACAGACCTAGGGAAAACTACTTTTGAGCTCAATATTGATGTTCCACAGTTTGGAACATAAATAAATGACAGGTGGATTTGCTGAAGCATGGGCTTTCAACTAGTTGAAAGCCCATGGCTGAAGTGAGGATTTTTCATGTTAAAATAAGAGAATTTTCAAGAGGCCATACATCAGTGGATGAGATTGTATAAAATGTAAAATATACAAATTTTAGGGGATACATGTATGTATCTAGACAATATTGGAAACTATGGGCTTTCAGACGACCATGGTTAGGAAATGGTGATATAAAATCCACCTGTCATTTATTTATGTTCCAAACTGTAGGCTATAAGCTCAACAGTACTCTTTCCTTGGCCTACTGCCATGGGCCTTCAATGAGTTGAAACCCCATGCTACTGCATAGCAGAATCATGTTTTGCCTCAGAAAGGCAGCTGGACAGATTTCAAATATGTATCTACAAAAGCTAAACATTGACAATGAATATGGAAACTTTTCTTTATGACGGAGGCTAGGATAGAGCTAGTTGACAATTTGTTTTTATGAAACAGTACACTTTCTCACCAACTAATCAATTGAGGGTAAAAGGTATAAATTGATGTCAAACAAAATGTCAAACATAGACTTATTGATTAAACTAAGATTATAGCAAATGTAATAAAAAAGAATCTGTGTTAATTTGACTTTGTTGTAGATTACATGAACACTGAGAAATCAATATTTTGCAATGTTAGTCTATAGTTGTACAGTGAATAATATGATATTGTATAATTAGGCCTAGCTACTCATGCTTTGTCAACCTCACCATTAAATATTTACTTTCAATTATTCATTTGGCTTTGAGATTGAATTGCTGGTTTGTTCTTTCAGGCTGGTAAACTCACAGCTACGGGAGAATCTGCACAAAACTGTTTGAAACCTCCAGACAAAAGGCCAACCTCACCCGAGGCTATCAGAAGATTCCGTGATACCTTACGTCCAGAGGCAGGCAAAATTACAGTATTTTATGGTAAAGCTCATGACCCACATCTCCAATGGGCAAAAGAAATGCGCCATGGTGTTAATACAAAACCATCTATGTTTGCTGGAGAGTTAGTAAATCCTGACCCCAAAACAAGATTCAAACAAAAGGTTAACGAGAAGAAAGAATCTTTATATGCAAGCCATGCTAGAGGACCACTGGGCTCGTCTCACAATCAACGAGAAAGACTCCCAACAGATCTGGATCCCCAGTCATTCACATTTGGAATACAAACAGAAAAAGGTAAACAATCAAAAACAGTGTAGGAAATTACAATACAATATAACATGTTAGCTTAAAGGGGCAATAATGACTGTAGAGAAAATAGAAAAGTTTTTTCATTTTTTCTGAGCTATCAAGGCAACATTTGGTTTAACATCTTCTTTGACATACCTATTTTCTTAAAATGTATGGATAAATTATCAATTTCAGCATTAAGAAGTGTAAATTCAGTTCAAAGCTTCAAAAAGGAGACTTCCACTTTTATATTTTTAAGATCCACCATGTTTCAAGAGGAATATCAGCTAAAATAATGTTTATCTAGGGGGTTTCTTTGTAGATAATAAAAATAGATGTTAGTCTTGATGAAATATCCAAACTTAAACATATTTTGACACTGGTCCATGCCCATGGTCGTTGAATGACCCCTCTGCACTAATTATTGCACCTTTAATAAACTGTGTGATGACAGATTAGTGTTTAAGCCGATACTTTGAATAACCTGACGTTGGCTGCCAATCACTATAAATGTAGTCAGCCTAGAATAAGAGAATAATTAAAAGTTTTTATTTTTCCAGATATCACAGCTGGGGAACTTGTGAGTCCAAACAAGTCATACAATGTAGTCCAAGCAGAAGGAGAAGAAGGACGAGACCTCTATAGAAAAACTCACCACGCATTTAAAGTCTCTGAGGCACTTAATAGAAATTATGTCTCCCCGGATTACTGTAGCACTGATAAATTTGGAGTCCCAACTCCTCACGATAATGATGGAAGACATGTCAGAGATACGCTGAAGTGGTTGCATGACACCAACACAGAGAAAGCTGCACAGGTTGTCAACAAGAGAGTTGATGATTTCCGGGAAAGGACACAACCTCAACTTGGAAAAGTACACGACCCGTAAGTGCATTTACATTCCCTACGTGATCTAAAATTACTTGATTTATGCAAATTTTTCATAAATCTGAAAATGAACCCAAAATGAACTAATATTTCTAATGTTACGATTTTATTACAATTTTGTTAATATACATGCAATTCAACTATGCATCTATTTCAGTTTTAAATTATACATACATTTCTAAGTTACTAGTAGTTAAGTTATACATGCATTTTAATCTAAAATTATGCATGTATTTCATTGTCAAATTATACATGTAATTTCATTATATATTTTATATGTATTATACTATTTCTTCCAGGATAAAAGATACTCTTAAAGTAGGACCTGACCACACATTTGGCATCATGGTGAAGCCTGATGAGTATGGGGCAGGAGATCTGATGCATGCTAGGTCCCCGACCAATTACCTGAGGGGGAAGGAAAGAACCAGGGGGGTTTTAGCTGCAATTAGACAACATCTCAAGAAGGCCAACTACCACAATTTTCATGATTTACTGCATGCATTCCAACACTACGATAAGGTAAGAACTAAATAAATGTGTTACATTAAACTGGTAAGAACATGCTTGATAAATTCACTGGGAGAAGACATAATTTTACATTGAAATCAGTGATCTCCCCAGGATTTTTTCTCAGGTGGGTGCAAAATTCTTATTTTCACAATTCAGACCAAAATTGGTCAAAATATGTCCTTTTTCCATAATTTTTCTCATTTTCAAGTGGGTGCAATTAGATTTTCAGGTGGGTGCAAGTCTATTTTCAAAATCTCAGGTGGGTGCTGCGCCCACTTGCTTTAATGCTGGGGAGATCACTGGAAATAATTGATCATTAAGAGCCCCAGTTGATATTTCATAGTTTCAATCATAGCCACCTGTGTAATCATTTGAGACCACCTTGAAATGTATTTACTGAACTCGATTGATTGATTTTGAAAATACATGTATACTCTTCAAAAATCAGAATTTAGAATATTTTATCAGTGGCTTTTGTATCAGTTTAGACAGTGATTGCGATTACTAAAATTGAATAATTTGCTCTTAAATGATCATAGTACTCCCCGATTATTAACTAATTGTTTCACATCCTACCAGCTTAACAACTTGAAGTGACCAATTATTATTGATATCAATGGACCACACCGGCACAAAATAATTCTGTTTCATCTGTTGATGGATTACTTTATTATTATTATATGATGTTAATTTTACAAATTCATTTCCAGAATGGTTCTGGTAAAGTGGACATCAATGAATTGCGTGAAGTATGTGTGCAGTTCAATCTACCAGTTGATGCAGTTCTACTTGAGCAACTTATGGACTATTGTGACGTCGATCGCGACGGTTACATCAACTACATAGAATTCTCTAATTTCCTAAACTGGAAGGACAAAATGCCAACTGGTCAGCCTGAAGTTATTCAGTCACATCCAGGAACTCCAAAATTAGTAAAAGAAAAAGATCTAGTTGCTAAATCACCGACCAGTCGTGAATCAACCCCAAGAAGGATTCAAAAGCAAATTGACGCTGCAATGGTTGACCATAGAACAAGTGCATCTTTGATTAATGCTACAGTGGGCGGTATTTCAACAAAAGACTATAGAACATATGGAGTACCCACAATTCGCACAGATAAGGCAGCGCCAAGAATCCGACGTGTTTGTGATAGAACAAATTATGGTGATGAATCTGATGCCTTTGGTCTGGTTAACCCATCCATCTTTAGTACTAGGGGTCTTTCAGAGAAAGACTTCCTTAGAGCTAGACCAAAAGAAGAGGTGTGTACTCATGAATTTATTTTTTATTTTATTCCACATTGTCTAAAACACTCATATATGGAGGCGAGAAATTAATCATTGTTTTTTAATCCTGTATTTATTCTTAAACTTCATATACAAAGTCACAAGAGTTTTGTCTATTCTCTCTGTCACAAAGAATGTCAAACTATTATGTCAAATTATTTGTTGCCATATTTATGAGCTGATTGTAATAAAACATTATTGATTGTAATGTGCCAAAATATGTAATTGCTCTTGGTGTCTTAACTTACTTTAATTTTTTAATTTCAGATCCGACAAGTATTCACTAACATTGGTGTCCACATGACTCTTGATGACTTTGATAAAATATATGACCAAGCCGCATCATTTGACCCTCGGGGACAAGTTAGCATTGAACTTTTCCGCAGTGTTCTTGATCAGAACGAGGCAGGACGGATTATTGTCGAATAAGCATAGTGAACCCTGGGAAATTTATATTGGCGTTAGATAAGGATACATGTAACTATGTCAAGTAAACAAACATGTCTAAAAACACTACAGCCTTAAGGTGAAGAATGGATAAAAACTGGAATACATATATATTTCCAAAACTTTTGGGGTAGAAAACATACATGTAATACTCATTAACAGTTGATGATAAATTGGAATACGTCAAAACTTAAAATACTTCAAAACTGACATTTAAATCTTGATTATTTTTCTGGAGAGATCTATATAAGAACAACATTAGCCTGTTAGCAATTTTTGGAAAACACTGATCTTAGTATGTTTCTAAAACACTAATGTTTATCTGTGTTTCAGCCATTTGGTAACTAGCGTTATAACTCAACTACATAATGTAACTGCTGAATCAAATACTCTCTAATTGAATTTTCTTGGGTTGAATACTCTATAATTGAATACTCTTGGGTTGAATACTCTCTAATTGAATACTCTTGGGTTGAATACTCTCTAATTGAATGCTCTTGGGTTGAATACTCTCTAATTGAATTTTCTTGGGTTGAATACTCTCTAATTGAATATTCTTGGGTTGAACACTCTCTAACTGAATACTCTTGGGTTGAATACTCTCTAATTGAATACTCTTGGGTTGAATACTCTCTAATTGAATACTCTTGGGTTGAATACTCTCTAATTGATTATTCTTGGGTTGAATACTCTCTAATTGAATACTCTTAGGTTGAATACTCTCTAATTGAATATTCTTGGGTTGAATACTCTCTAATTGAATATTCTTGGGTTGAATACTCTCTAATTGAATTTTCTTGGGTTGAATACTCTCTAATTGAATATTCTTGGGTTGAATACTCTCTCATTGAATATTCTTGGGTTGAATACTCTCTAATTGAATATTCTTGGGTTGAATACTCTCTAATTGAATATTCTTGGGTTGAATACTCTCTAATTGAATATTCTTGGGTTGAATACTCTCTAATTGAATATTCTGGGGTTGAATACTCTCTAATTGAATATTCTTGGGTTGAATACTCTCTAATTGAATATTCTTGGGTTGAATACTCTCTAATTGAATATTCTGGGGTTGAATACTCTCTAATTGAATATTCTTGGGTTGAATACTCTCTAATTGAATATTCTTGGGTTGAATACTCTCTAATTGAATATTCTGGGGTTGAATACTCTCTTATTGAATATTCTTGGGTTGAATACTCTCTAATTGAATACTCTTGGGTTGAATACTCTCTAATTGAATATTCTTGGGTTGAATACTCTCTAATTGAATATTCTGGGGTTGAATACTCTCTAATTGAATATTCTTGGGTTGAATACTCTCTAATTGAATATTCTTGGGTTGAATACTCTCCAATTGAATACTCATTTGCACTTCAACAAGATGCAATATGCAAATAATTATAAAGTATTACACTTTTATTGCCTTAAATATTTGGATTATTTCATAAATTCTATTCCCATGCCAATTATGTTGTGTCAGTTGTTTGTATATAGAATACATTTTTATATGAATTTACTAGGAATAATTTCCATTGATATTGTAATATTTGTTGTAACTATTTTACATTTACATTTGAATTAAAAAATAGTGAATGTCATTATTTATCTTCAGTATTAATTACACTTGTGTAAAAAAATGTAAAAATGTTCCTAATGTTCAATTTTAAACATAAAAAGCATTATAATTTCAAACACTGCTGAGACTACTGCATTAAAAATATTATATTTATGCACTTACCACATGTATTTCACTTTTACAATGTCAGTGTTTTTGTGACTGTGTTTCTAGTTGTCATTAAAATCATTATGCAATAAATATGTCAATTTTTCAAGCCTTATCAGTTTCACAGCTGACTCTAGCTTTTTACAATGCCAATTTTGTATATAATTGTATATAATGTAAATACTGTACATTCAAGAGCAAATAAACAAATGTTTATAATAATATATATATCAATATTGTGTTGAGAGTTCAGATTGGGAGCCTCACAGTGAAAGAGAAAATTGTCCCCACTCTGCAAGGAATATTGTCCTGATTTTTTTATATCTTATCAGACCTAACTACCTAACCAAAAGTTATTAGCCAGATTAGTATCTATAGGCTAATAGCATAGTCACGGTGCGGTATCCAAACTGCGTACATACTATGCACGCAATTTGAAACCCTGACAAACTGTTTAGTCAGCCCTTGTGTTTGCATATATTGAAAGATTCAGGATTGCTGCATATACTAGTAGTTTAAGTAATATAGTATTTTCTATTTCTGTGAAAAGTGCGACATCTTAACTTATGTGTCCTGAGGCCTAGGAATACGTTAAAAAATGTTTGAAAAGTCCCCCAGTGTACTGAGTTGGTAATGCATGGTGTATACATGTATACATTGCATTGAAGAAGAATTTTTTTATTGTGACTATACCCGGGCCTCAATATGTGTCGGTAATTATCGAAAAACCGATGACAATATTTTATTAACCTGCTTATATTTTAAAACCTACATGTACGTTCATCTAGACATAACTTTCGCTATCACATGGTAGAATCATGTAATCGCCACCAAATGGACGTATGTAACTATAAAACAATGTAGAATAAATGTCTTAAAATGACGTTTGAAAACACTTGTATGATGCAATGTTGATATGCGCGCAGCTCATAGTATGCCAGTATGCGCGCAGTTTGGATACCGCGGCGTGATAGTATAATTTTTTCGGCTCGGCCACAGGATTAAGAAGTCCCTGTTTTAAGGCCCCATATTACGTTTTAACCACCATGGCTTATATTGTAGTCTTGCACTAAGAGCATATAAAATGTAAAACCTTTCAATTTAATAATTTGAAAAAGTGGTTTTTGAATGACTTTTTGTTCAAACTTTGCACGAGGCCTTACAGTCAGGAATGCCTTCAAAGGCTTTCGAATAAAGAATGATATACATTGATATAGAATCATTTAATTTGTAATACACGTGGAATTAATAATACTGCCCATAGGTGTGTTCAGCCAAAAGTCATTGAACGCATGCTCAGATGTATTGTAATAGTTTCAGAGCGGGTCACTCATATTGTGTTCGTGCGGTAAGTTGTACACAAATACAGAAAGATCACTCAAAATAAGTATTCGTTAGTATATCTGCCTAACACCATTCTATCATTGTGGGATCCACAGCCTTTACTATCCTTTTGTCTCTCAAAAGCGTTAGGTAAAGAGGGACTCTGAAAAATCAGAATGCCATTCTATGAGTTACGTATATTAAATGAACATAACATGCAGAATGTTGAAACGGTTTCTCAATCTAAGCTTTTCACCTATCACCAACAAATCCTGTGAATCCTTCAATATTTATTATTTTGAAAGTTTTGGATTATAAATGTTCAATAAAGAAGGCAGGTCATTTCAGAAGACATTACTGTACTATGTCTGGAAAATATTTTGGACAACGTGTATGTTACGAATTAATCAGTTAGTGGAAATTTAATATAGTAGAGTCAGTTATTAGCTGTCCAATTGCAGATCTTATATATAAAGCGCCATTTTTGACCGAAGTATCATTAGTACATATATTTTTGATATCTAACGAAGTTGTGTTGAAAAGTCCTCCCAGTTGATGATAGCAGGCCTCGAAAATTTTCCTCTTTTAATTGAGCTCCATGTTAATTTATCAATCTTCAAAAGACCCCCTGCAGAACAGTTCTAGAATAATAAAGCTGATATTCCTAGAATACATGTATATTAACTACAATAAAAGAAAATATCATTAGTGGATCTTTAAAGAAAATAACACTTTAGTGAAGCCATAATTATAGCGGTTCAATTTATAATGGCTACAAATAAAGATTTTCCAAAATTCAAAGGCCAATATTTTTGGAACTAGGCAATCCCACATCATTTGAGACTGAATGTTATTTTATGAGTACTAGAATATTATCTACAGCTATTGGCTATTAATCTTTTCAATTTTTCTCCGACATGTGCCATTTCGTGCAATAAGTTCACGAAAAAAATGCTCTCAGTTAAATGATTTTTGATATTTTCTCATGAAATTTGAATATTTTACCTTTTCTACAATAAAATTATAATCTTTGATATTTTCTTTAATCTCGAGCGCTGTTGTTTTCTCATTTTCCGTATAGTTTGGCAAATTTAACGGAACCATTGTAGATGCTCACTCAGCTGTCCATGATTACTCGTTTGAATAAACAATGTATTGCAAATTATAGTGTCAATTCTCACAAATCGAATCCATGGTGGATGCGTAATATGTGACACCTGCCATGTACCCTTTGCATTCGTTTGACTTCACTTCTTAAAAGAGAGCTTCGTCTTCACTCTTTCAAACTAAAATAAACCTGTGAACTCACCGCGCCAATCAAATTTGACCGACGTTCTTTATATGGTCATTCCTTCTGACGTCATCGTTGAGCCCGGAATTGACCAATGACATGCGCATATTTAATTAGAACGCATTTGGCGCATGTTTCTTCAAGCTCGCTGATTGGTGGAAGGTCAGCGCGTAGGTCAAAAGTGATTTACCCAAACTGTCACTGGTACCCGTCGTGGGGGCGGGGCTACTAAACTGTAATATGGTCTCTACTAGGCAGAGTGTAGTTTAACTAGACTCTGCACGCAGGGTACCTGCCATGCTATTTGTAATTTCCATGATCAGAGGATTGACATCGATATTGTGAACTTTTTGAACACAGGTTTCTCACAAGCCAGCAATCAAAAATTCGTCAATTTAATGGTCATCTTTTGAATGCTAACAATATAATTTGAAAAAATATACATATTTTCTCTATATTGTTTTAGAAAAAATATATTGGCCGCATATGTTAGGAATAAAATGAAACATCTATCCAAACCTCACTGGAACAAAATGACACAAACACAATGTGTTAAGGTCTCTCAATATTGTAATTGTACAAAGGAAAGTTTGATTGATTTAAAAAAGTATATTTTTAATCAGACTTCACTACAAGGAACGTGACTATGTTTTTCGGCATTTCTTGATAATCGCAAATGTTTTAATTTAATGTGGAGGAAAGGGTTATTTCAGAAAATATTCTCCCTCGGTATTAATGGAGTAACATGGAGACTGATTGTAGAACGTTATACTAATACCACTGCATGTGTATTATACAATGGTTCATTTTCCCGGGAATTTAGTATTTATCAGGGAGTTGGACAAGGAAGAGTGACCAGTTCGATTTATTTTTTGATCTATATTGACGCACTCATAACTGAGCTAAATGAAGCACATTCAGGTCTTAAGATAGGTTCGTATCATATTCCAGGTATTTTGGTGGCAGACGATACTACCCTTCTAGCTTCCTCTGCGCACAATTTGCAAGTTCTGTTAGACATTGTATTTCGTTACAGTTCAAAATGGCGCATGGTTTACCCATGCTGGTGATAACACTAGCTAAAAGCGCAATTTTGACATTTAATGAAACAAAGCATCAGTTTTATCGAAGCAGAGGTAGTCGTCAGTGGCTACCAGGGACTCGGACTGACATAGTGCCTGAAACTCAAAGCACAAGCTATGTAGGTAACCTTATCACGACTAACTTTGAAACTGGAGATCTGGTTAACAACTCAAAAAAGAAAATCTATACCATGGTAATACCATGGTAAATGATGGTCAGGTACATTGCAATGCAATATCATGGTATGACCATGGCATTTGATTGTCACATCGTACAATAAAATACCATCAACCATGATATACAATGGTTATACCATGGTAAATGATGGTCACGAACATGGCAATGAAATACCATGGTATTTGATTGTCACATCTTATAATGGAATGCCATCAACCATGATATAACATGGTAAATTATGGTCAGGAACATGGCATTGAAATACCATGGCATTTGATTGTCACACCTTACAAAGAAATGCCATGAAATGCAATCAACCATGATATACCATGGTTATACCATGGTAAATGATGGTCAGGAACATGGCATTGAAATACCATGGTATTTGATTGTCACATCTAACAATGAAATGCCATCAACCATGATACACCATATGATAGTACTATAGTAAATGATGGTCACGAACATTGCAATGAAATACTAAGATAATACCATGATCTTTGAATGTCACATCCTATAATGAAATGCCATCAACCATGATATACAATGGTTATACCATGGTAAATGATGGTCAGGAACATGGCATTGAAATACCATGGTATTTGATTATCACATCTAACAATGAAATGCCATCAACCATGATACACCATATGATAATACTATAGTAAATGATGGTCACGAACATTGCAATGAAATACTAAGATAATACCATGATCTTTGAATGTCACATCCTATAATGAAATGCCATCAACCACGATATACCATGGTAATACCATGATAAATGATAGTCAGAAACATGGCATTGAAATACCATGGTACAGGGTGTTAAAAAAAAACGCAACCCAAAGAAATTGCTATATCTTGAAAAATACTGGTTCAATTATGTTAATATTTTCAGGAAATAAAGAGGAGACTGTGTATGTATAGCTCCTATAAATAGTTAGTTGTAAAACATGATGCCTTGGACACCTGCTCAAAAGACAGTTGTACTAGGAAAATACGAAAAACGCAGTCAGGGATGACTGTACCCGCAAAAAAATTAAATAACTTCCTTACCATAGTGTTTTGGCTCTTCAATTTTGGCACAAACCATCTTCATTCACTGTATGGTAAATCTGTAGAGTGAAATCAAAATCACTTCAGGGACTTCACTGTCATGGTTGAAATGCTTTCAAATCGCAGTCAAACGGCCTGGTTCAGGGAGACTTAAGAAGGCATTTTGACCATGACTGTAAATTCCCTGGAGTGATTTTGATGAAACTCCACAAATTCACCACTCATTGAATGAGGATAATTTGTGCCAAATCTGAAGTGCCAAAACACCATGGTTAGAAAGTTATTT